TTGAAAGCCTTGAGAGAAGTTGGTGCGCGAAGACAAAAGACACTTCTACGAAACACTGGCTAATGAAGCAGAACAGGCTGCTGGTAGAAGAGACAGAGACCTGACAACATTATATCAAATAACAAAGTTACTGCTATCCGGGACGAGATCAGCTCAGACGAAATAAATGAAAGATAGTGAAGGAAACCTAATTACCAAGGAAACAATGGGCTGACCACTTCAAAAAACTCTTGAATCGACCACCATCACCACCACCACGTGCAACTTGTCCAGAAATACCACCTGCAGCCACAGAACTACCAGTGAACACAAGTCCTCCGACGAAGGTCGAAGTTCTGAACCCCATGAAGCTACTGAAATACGGGAAAGCAGGAGGGCCAGATGGGATTCTACCAGAAGCACTGAGAGCAGACACAGGGACAATAACAAACATGCTCACACCATTGTTGCAGAAGGTCTGGAAGGACGGGAAGGTACCTGCCTATTGAGTAGAAGAAGGGCTGCTTGTCAACCTCCCGAAGAAGGGTGAACTAAGTTTAAGGAAGTGGAAGTGGATCGGGTATTCACTGAGAAGACCAACTGCGGCATCACGAGCCAGGTCCCCGAGTACAACCCATATGCGAAACGACGATTTGGGCGTCCGAGGCGAGGGTGACATGGAGGAGATTGTGTGAGGAAGAAATGAGAGCTTGCGGGCTGTCATGGAGCCAGGTTTAAAAGTTCGTAGAGAAGAAAGTGCACTGGAGACGTGCTAGTGAAGCGGTACGTTCCACTAGGAACCCAAGGGACAAATGGTGATGATGAGGCCATGTTCTACTTTAGGTGTAATAATAACCAGAATTTTGAAACCTCAGTCAAGGTTCAAGTCTCTCTAAATTACTTCTCCGAGACCACGAAATTTTATGAAAACTGAACACAAACTGAACGAAATGACGAGTTTAACTTCTGTCATTAAGGAATTAGCTCATCAACGAGCATTTATTTTCGCCCACATTAATATCATTAACTACAAGTTACGTTTTCATTGCGATCTTCAGAACTTCACTATTTACTTCAGTCGATATCAAGCGCTGGTAATTATTCATCCAGGTTTTTAGTAGAAAACTGGATCCTTTAACTATGTTTGTTTTCTGCCAACGAGTACCCAGACACCCTCAAATAACTTCAGTATCCTAATGAACGATAAAATAATTCTCTAATAAAGTAAAAACAGATCCACGGAGTGTTCTCCCAACGCCTTTTCTGAATGGATTACAGATAACATGGACAGTAATGGATCAAAAGACAACTGAAAATCTAGGAAAAGTAGTTGAGAAGAATAGGTTTTAAGTGTGACGTGAGGATGAGACAAGTAATTAAGAAGTGACCGAATTCAAGACGATCTACAAATGTCATCAAAACTTCTACTGACTTCTGCAGTAGTAATGAATAAGAAAGCAAAGGAATTTTTCATCAGGATGAAACCTTTTGCATTCATAGGTTGCTATTCATTTCCTTACATTTTCGCATGAAATATTTACGTGTTCATGTTTAAGCCTACGGAAATTTAAAGGTTTAAAGTGTGAAATTATTTCATGAACGTCACCATGCTCGTAACGGAAAGATAATTGTAAGGTAGAGATATTTTTTAGTTTTCTCTCTCATTTAACTCACATTCCAAAGCTTTTCCGCTTTGTTTAAGTATACACGAATTGGTCAACAATAGGCAGCCCTTAGTAACTAGTAATGATCGAATGCTATCAGTCAAGCAATAAGCTAGCTCAGTATTCATCTAATAGTTCACTTGTTCCTGTGGAGTGACATACGTTGGATGTGGACAGCGTCAACTCCACGGACGTATTTTGGAACATTGTTAAGCTTGGTGATCCAGAGGGGTGAGGAAAGATATCAGAAATTCTGTCCGTGAACACTTCGTTATCTCTGAACATCTGGTTCTTCCTAATAGTTCCTACAAAGTAAATTACAGAGTGCTACTCTACAAAGATCTTCGGCTGCATCGTCTATGCATACTCGAATCATCAACATTGTAAAACTTTACACCTGATGTTTGTTTTGAAAACTGTTACATGCACTCATCAGTCTTCTCTTTAGAAATTTTTTATCCCACTTTTGATTAATAATAGGTTGTCGTTTGTTTGTTTCCAGTGTCTGTAAATAAGATTTTATAACTTTGGTTAAGCTTTGTTTTGTGACTTAGTACGGGAATTTTTCGTTCGTCAAACAATCTATGTGGTTAAAGAGATATTCTACTGAAGAACATGAGTAGTTAGAAATCATTTGAAAAACTGTTCATTATGGACTGTGCAATTTGAAAATTACTTACAAGTTGGCCCAGGCTTATATAGCCGAATAGACTAGGTTACTATGTCAATTTAATCGGTAAAAGCAAGAAAAATGACTCAAAACAGTTTGTCGGAAGTGAGCAGTTAGTTCCCTGCATACCGTGATCTGTGATAACTGGAGACAATTAAGATATCCTCTATAAACCAATAATTTTTTTGACGTTTTCGGTGCAATTGTTGACTTGTAAATAGAGGTAGCAAGAAAGTTGTTCAGTAGATATTCAAGGTGAGTGATTTATGAACCAACCATTTTTTATGCATTGAATATGATATCTGGAACTCCTTAAAAAGTCTAGCTTATCAATAAAAGGATGGTTACAGAAATTAAAAACTAAAAAAATAAATTGTTTTATGGCTGGTAGAGGAAAAAGAACGAAACGGATTTCAGCGATTGCGTGAACTCTACACAAATTCTTTAGAGAAAGAACATTTTTCAGTGAAATACAGTCAGACGTTCGAAAAATCAGGAAGTAAATATGCATCAGGGATGGCAGATGAATACTCTCATTGAACTCTGAGCTCTTACAAGTAGGACGTATGTTTGGTATCTAGATAAACACACATTACAGTAATCAGATGTGTAGCACTATTGATTGTCTAATTGACTTCTCGTAATCTGATACTATACAAATCCAAATGTAAGTATTCTTAGAGAGTAAATATACATCAACGCTAGGAACAGAGATTATGTTAGTAACTCTTGGTGTAAAGAGATACTAGTTAAACTGCATGATTTTCGGTTGAAATTCATTATGGACTGACATCAGTTGGAGGAACACTGGAAACCCGTGAGCGTCGGACAGCCGTCTCGTCTGAGTACGAGACTCCTCAGAAGTGAGCACCCATCACTGCACTTCGCCAGGAATCGAACACAGGACCCTAGGGTTCAGTGGTCAGCACGTTACCATTGAGCCACTGGGTCAGAAACCAATGGCCAATATTTACTGCTCCTGTCAGTTCAAGATATAGCGTGACCTATATCGAATGTTGTCGTTGAGTAATTGTCTTCATGGTCTACTTGGTTAACTCCACTGGTCACGAATTCTCATTGAAACTTCAGGACTCACCTTTCGAAGCCGGTCACCAATTAGAGACCCAAAGGCTCAGTGGTAACGTGCTAGCTAAAGAGCGTGGATGTCATGGGTGCTCACAGCTGGGGAGTCCAATACTAGGACAAAACAGCTACTCAGTGCTCATAGGTTTCCAACGTTCCTCCAACTGATGTAAGTCCATGATGAATACCAACGTAAAACCAATTATTAAACCCTCACAAACCTCCAGATGGAATTAAACTGTGTGAATTTAAAGGAAGATGATATTTAGTTTGATTTGTGAAATTGTATCTATTTACTAGAAACCTGTTTTGCCTCAACCAACATAAAACTCGTGTCATAGGAACGAGTTTTAAGACATAAGAATTAAGATCCATAGATTAGGTTGTTTCATTGGATTATTCGTTGTTCGTTTGCTAATTAAACTATAAGAAATAGAGATGAAACGAATGGTAATCACAAAAAAAGGCATAAAAACATCTATTTTGTGTATGAGAAAATATTTTTGAAATCGTTTACTCTAAACGGACTTTTCATTTTCGAAAAGTTAACCTTGTGAAATAGAATTAAGAACAATTACGTGAGCTGACTGTTCCTTTCAACATAGACCAATAAAAAACAGTTTTTGAACATCAGCTGTTTCTCAACTAAGGGGAGTATTAAATAGACACTGTATGAAGAAATGATTTTCACCATCTTTGATTATTCGTATTCACTTTTAAGAGACTCAATGATTAACTAACTGAATCCAACATTTATCCAGAACTAAGCGATAGGAAGCAGTAGGTGTTGCTTTTGGGTTCAACTAAGTCACAAGTTCCCGAAATATAGATAAGAACATATTCAACTTTCCAGTGTTGTGATATTACTGATTGTTATTTGTTGTCCATTAGGTTCAAACACAAATCAAACGCGGTAAAGAAAACTGTTTAGTAAAATCACTACATCATCAAGAAAATCCATAAGTAGTTCTCAGCCGTTAGTGAACTTTCTACCTTCTTATTTTTGTAATTTTTGATGTCAGATAGTGATATCTCAAGGTCTTTTTTAGCAATAAATTCGGGTATTCGTATCTTGAAAAATTAACAGAAGCTAATGAACGAATGGAAATAATTTTGTGTCCTTTATACTACTGGCTATCATTTCAGTAGCCAAAAGTGAAATAGTGATAATGTTAAAACGGTCTGATAACGTGAAATGCTTGGAAACACTTTCGAAAAGTGATGTCTAATTTCGTCGCGCATTAATGATTTATTTGAGAATTTCCACTCATTCACTCCATTTTGCTGTAGGTGTCTTATGAAATAAATTCTGCTTGTCAGTTGGTTTTCTGGTCTACAACTTTGTAGTACAAGAAGACCAAGTGGATGGTTACTGCCTAGATTTTGAACATGATTTACTCGTCTGTAACAGTGAAACCAAGTTAATGTAACTATATACGGACAAACTTTTTTTCAGTTCAATGGACAAAGAGGAGTTGGACAGGCAAAATGCAAGTACTTGTCGCCAAAAGGTGCTGCTGTGTCGTCGTCCGAGATTACTAGTTTAATGATTGATAGGTTTTACAACACCTACAGAAAATCATTATTACTTTCATTTAAATTACCATTTAAACCAGTAAATGCAGCTTGAGTAGGTACAGGAACACCTTGCCATGTGTCTGCTATTGGACGTGGATAGTCTGGACTATTAATTACTTTCCCAAAGGGACCAGAATTTTCATCCAAGCGCCAGTAGTATTTTCCTGCAAAAATATAGATTCCCTGATTTTCTCCCCATAAAAATACACTGTCCACACGTTCCAAATATGATGGGAGTCCAAGATCAGTGAGTGGCAGTCCATCACTTGGAAAACTGGGTTTCATTCGCATATTATCCAGAAGTAGCCAGAATTTCTTATCTGAATTGTTTATATAAAATACGATGTGTTTAAAAATTCTTCATTAGGAAATCGAATATTCAAGGATAAAATGATGGAAAAAGTTGTGACGGTACTATATAACTCTGTTAATAATTTGATGAACACTGTTTAATATACCAACAGTCAAACCTTGCTTCATGACGATCGAAGTCTAATGAACTATTCTTTTTCCGTCCGATACAGTTAACCGATTTCTTTTGTTCAGATTTGATATATTTCCTAAAAATCAGTTTTTCCCGCCAAGTTTAAAAAGGCTGTACAGCATTTATTATGCATCAACATCCATGATACTAGTTAAGTAACTGATTTTTCACAGAGTTATGAAGCTTTTCCGAAGAAGTTCACTTCGCAGGACTAGAACACCGCTAGTGACGTCAAGTGGTATTGACACAAATCGTAGGAACCTTGTGTGGTGGAAGTATGGGTTGGATAATCTTGAGGCCATAAAAAAAGGATACGAAAGTCTATAAAGTTTTGAACTTTTGCTGACTTAAGTTGTTGTGACAAGCATCACATGTGTTAGACACTCGCCTATATATGCGTTGAGTTTTAAGTGAGACAAAAGTAGACTATGAAAAACTAAGAATAGCCAAACGAAAATGAAGCAGCAACAGAAAATTATCTCTGACTCATGGTCTAAACTTTTCAGGGAAGGCGCCTGACTGGAATCCTAAAGATATGCCAAATAAACGCACGAAGAACTTTAAAAAGTTAGGTTAAAAGTCATTCAGAGTGATTCAGACGCCTTCACTCTTCATCATAGTTGAGATTTGAAAAACAAGAAAGTTAATGCAGTTATTCTTTTACTTCTCATATCTTATTCAGTAATTCTTATACTTTTTTCCCAATAGTTCATTGATTTTCTATGCATTTTGTTATACAGGGCGGTAGTATCTGTAAGATTCTTTAAAGGAACATGGATTTCCTTGAAGAACCCTCACAATCAATCGTGACACGCTGAATGTTCGTGAGAAAACACCTGATCATACGTGTGAATCTCAAATTAGCTAAGAGACTTTCTAAAAAGGTGTAAAACTTAAAAAGGCAATCGAAAATGCATATAAACCGTTACTTCACGTAACTTTGAAATTGATAATAAACAGTCTACAGTTTCTTCGCTTCCTTCTGTTTTCGAGGAACCGAACGTCCCTAAACAGCGAGGCCTAAGGTTGGCGTTGGAGTTTACATAATTATATATTTTTACATCTACATATTCATCATAAGGATGAACCACTTCTGATTAAGTTACTTCTTCTGCTGTCTGTTTGTTTGTTTCTTCCTGCGCTGTCTAGAAGCTCTATTGATGGAGTATTAGGTTCCCGTTGTAGAGTTATTTGCTCAGCTCTTGCATATTGAAATTATAAAAATAAGCAAAAAAGACTACCACTTATGAAGTGTTATGAGGAACAAATTCCATACCGCAATTCGCTCTCTCATCAAAATAATAAGAACCCTTGATTAGAAAATTTCACTAGGCGTATGCTGCTTGCTATTCAGAACTGCGTTATTTCGAAACGAATATGAATACAGCATACTTTGCCACTATTCTCGCTTGGTTAACTAGTTCACTAGTTACTAGCCGATCCTAAGCCCGGATAAACAGGAAAGGTTGGGCATAGGGCTAGCAACCCTAAGTCGTAAAACCAATCCAATCGCTAAACAAACTGCAAAGCACAAACAAAATATAAAACATAAAAATAAACTTATTCCTCACTGGAATCGGAAAGACGAAATGACGCCAGTTGGTGAAAGCCTTCGGGAAGCCAATTGGCCGATGTGTCTTCTCTTCTATCGATGAAAGCAAAAGTAAGAATGGGGACATGGAATGTCAGCACCATGTACGAACCTAGCAGGGCTGCCCCAGATTGCGAAAGAGATGAGGAGGTATGGATGGAATGGAAGTGCTAGGAATCTGCAAAAGCAGATGGAATGGAAGTGGACTCTGTATACTGTCAACTGAAGAGTCAATTATCTACTCGAACATTGTCACCCAAACGACAACCATGAACACACTGAGTTCTGGAGTGGCTATCATGATGTCCCACTCACAAGAGCATCGAAGGCTCTCTCTCACGCAGTGGGAACCAATCTCCTTCATCCCAGGACCATGACAGCAAGGTTCTAATCAAAAGGAAGGAAAGTCACAATCATACAATGTTACACTGTGCACCTACAAATAATGCAGATGAAGAGAAGAAGGAGGAATTCCACAGACAACTGCAATCACTACAGGATAAGACACCACTCCAGTTGGCAACATCAAAACTCATTCTAATGGGTGGGGTGACATGAATGCCAAACTCGGAGCAGACAACACACGAAGAGAACTCATCATGGGTAGAGAAGCACTCGGTGAAGTGATGAATGAGAATGGGGAACTGTTTGCAGACTTCTGTGCATTCAACGATTTGGTGATTGGATGCGAGGCAGTGTATGCAAACACAAGGATATTCATACGGCAGCGACATGGATTTGATTTCACCAGATGGATATACTACACTAAAAATCGGATCGACTTCATCTCAATCTGAGGAAAGTGGAGATGCAGCTTACTGGACATAAGATGAAGAAGGGGAGCATATGTAGGTTCAGACAAATCACTATCTAGTGCAAGGAACCTTCAAAATCAAGTTGAAAGCCTTGAGAGAAGTTGGTGCGCGAAGACAAAAGACACTTCTACGAAACACTGGCTAATGAAGCAGAACAGGCTGCTGGTAGAAGAGACAGAGACCTGACAACATTATATCAAATAACAAAGTTACTGCTATCCGGGACGAGATCAGCTCAGACGAAATAAATGAAAGATAGTGAAGGAAACCTAATTACCAAGGAAACAATGGGCTGACCACTTCAAAAACTCTTGAATCGACCACCATCACCACCACCACGTGCAACTTGTCCAGAAATACCACCTGCAGCCACAGAACTACCAGTGAACACAACCCCTCCTGAATGCCATGAAGCTACTGAAATCCGAGAAAGCAGCAGAACCAGATGGAATTCCACCAGAAACACTGAAAATGGGAGATGCAGAGACAACAACAAACATGCTGACACCACTATTGCAGAAGGTGTGGAAGGAAGCGAAGGTACTTGCAGATTGAAAGAAGGGCTACCTTGTCAAACTCCTAAAGAAGGGTGACGTTAGCGTTTGCAAGAACTGGGGAGGAATCATGCTCCTGTCCACCACAAGCAAAATATTATGCCGCATCATCCTGGAGAGACTAAAAGTGGCGCTGGATTCAAAATTACGACCACCACAGGCTGTTTGGCTGGACTCAGGAAGAACAAACCATGTGGGGATCAAATTGCAACGCTGCACTACGCATCACCATAGAACAGAGCATAGAATGGCAGTCCATTGTACCTGTACCTCAACTTCATCGACTTTGAGAGGGCTTTCGACAGCGTCGACTGAGAAGTAATTTGGCAACTGCTTCAACACTACGGAATACCTCAAACCTTTATCAGCCTCATTCAACAGCTATATGAAAACGCGACATGCCAAATAATTCACAATGGGAAGCTCAGTGATGCCTTTGAAGTGAAGACAGGAGTAAAACAAGGCTGTCTACTATCCCTGATGATCTTCCTGATTGTAGTTAACTGGATCATGCAACAAACAGTGAGGATCGAGAAGAGGGGGATACGCCGGCTGGGCCGATGAAAAGAACCTAGAAGACTTGGATTTCGCCGATGACTTGTGTCTGATGTCGCACAAACTCGAAGATGTACAGACGAAAACTAACAAGTTGACAAAAGAGGCAGTGAAGGGAGACGGGACTTCAAGAGAACGTAGAGAAGACAGAGGTGATGAAGATACTCAACCAACAACAGCATCAGGAACAACAAGCTCCAATCACCATCAACGGGAGAAACTTAAAGGAAGTAACCTCTTTCACCTATCTAGGCAGCACTGTTTCAACTACAGGCGGCAGAGACGAGGACGTCAAAACCAGGATTGGAAAAGTGAGACAGGCGTTCATTAACCTGAAACCAATATGAAGACCTTCTGCACTCAGCATAAAGAACGTGATTCGGATTTTCAACACTAACGTCAAGTCAGTGCTTCTATATGATGGTTGAGAGAGTTGGCGCGTTACGAAAAGCATTTCCAACAAACTACAGACATACAGCCTCAAGTGCTGCCTACGCTGGCTCGATATTGAAGATCAGATGGCTAGAGTATAAGAATAAGAACAAGCAACGAGGAACTCTGTCTAGCTGGCAACGGACCAACTGAGAACCCATTGCCCAACAAATATGCAGAAGGAAGCGGAGATGGACTGGTCGTACATTGAGAAGACGGATTGGGGACACCATGCACCAGGCCAGGTCGTCGGGTGGAACCGAAATGGGAAACGACTAGTAGGGCATCCGAGGCGAGGGTGACATGGAGGAGATGGTGTGAGGAAGAAATGAGAGCTTTTGGGTAGTCGTGGAACCAGGTTCAAAGGACTGCAGAGAAGAGAGTGCAATGGAGGCGTGCTACTGAAGCGGTATGTTCCATTGGGAACCCAAGGGGCAAACAAAAATTAATACTTCGCCAATATTTGCGAAGAACATAGTTTGAGACCTTATCCCTTATCAGACTGATATAACCTGGGTATATATATATATATATATATGAGCAGCCACTTGAACAGTAACCTTCAGATTTCACCGCTTGATGGTCGCTCACTTCCTTCTGTAACGGAATTGATTACCAATCAGTAACCTTTGTGGTTGTCTATTTCCTAGTGCTCACTCAATATTGACCGGTCTGTCAGCTAGGTTTACAGCATTGCTACTAGGCTGTGATGCTTTATTGGGGTGTACTACGTTTTGATGTTAAGTTTCGCAAGTGAACTTGCAGAATGTATTGGACTTAGGTTTCGTATTTTTTGAAATTCATCAGTAATGTTTATGTGAAACCACGTAGATACTGGTGTTCTTTGTGGATTCTAAGTTGTTCAAAGTTGGGGAGAAGCCGTAAACATTGACGATAAGTACACTTTCATCTTTTAAATTTTGTTACCAGTTTGATCAGATTTATTCCCGTATAATGGTGCATACAGTTTCAGTTTTATCGTGGAGTTGCGTCAGGGTGAATGGTTATGAAGAAAAATTGACTTTTATAACCATCTTTCTCCTGTGAAGAATTGTGGTCAGTTATCTAGTAAATCATCTAGCCGATCTAATCTCAGTCAATTTTTAATTTTATGCACCTGCAGTGACAATGTACCTTCGTTTTTGTTGTTTGACCGAGTAAGATACTTGATGACTAAAGTATATTTGAGATGTGTTGACAAAGGGATTCTTGCAAATTATTTCGTAAGAAACCAGACAGATAAATCTACGGCTGCTGGTTTGAATTGTGTGACAATCCACATCTTTACTGGAATTCAACCATCATCTGTGTGTACATTACTCGCTCTCTCAACCAAGTTTGTTTCAGATAACCTAATCATCATCAAAAGAAATATTTATAACACAAGCAATCAAATGAAAAGAAATAAATGTTGGTAAGCCTTCAGCTTTCGGTGGAAAAGGAGAAATTACCTCGGAAAATATAAATGGCTGCATCATGACGTTCAATACCCGCATCAATGTAGTCAACATATTTTGGTAATGCAGGCCAATAGTAAGTGATTTTTGCAGGACCATCTCGAAACTGATAAGCAATCCATGTTGTTACAGTCTTAGACCATGTTACTCTCCATTGCCACTATAAGACAGAGAAATTAAAAGTCTTTAGGATGGAATTAAAATTACTGTATGGTCAAAATCTAACTGAATACAAGTTATACAGACTGTTTCTTACCTATTTGTTGTGATAATTGTAACTTCTCGCTGCTATACAGCCACGAATTGCTCAACCTTTATTGGGAGATGGCCTGCTAAGTGGATGCCTCGATACTGTCGGATATTTATCATGTTATATGTCTCCTACCTCCTTAAAAAAGGTCGTTCTTCAAGCTAACCGCACACCTTAGACACATCAACTGGAACTTTTGTAGCTCTTCCAACCCTGTTTAAAACTTTTCGCTAAATCTGGTTGAATCATCGTTTACAAGAATATTCAATCTTTAATAGACTTCATGATCAAAATTTGACATTTTAGAGTTGATTAAGCTGAGGATTGGGTGAATGAATTATTGAGGAAATGTATTTGTAAATCCCAGTGAGGTAGAATAGTAAATTTCCGACGTTTCACAACCTCGTGGAAACCGCTTCTTTGGAGAATGAAACCTGTGTAAGTTGTCACATGTTTAAGTAATAAATAGCGACAAACCAGATCACGTTGTCCATAAATAATAATAATAATTTGGAGATAAATGTCGTTGTTGTCAGCTATTAGCTCATGAGTTCAAGGTGAAGATGTGAGAGAGATACTATGTATAAGAAATTCAGTTTGCTTGTGTGTGCATGCACTCTAGTTATGAGTAGTGTCTGGAACACGCCATTTCGGACATACGTTCCAAGTTGGCTGGATAGTTCAATGTGGTGGGATTGAACGTATCGTGAAACCCCTCGGTTATTCGTCTTTTCTTGTAGTTTGAAAACCTTTTGAATAAATTTGATATTTTCAATATCACTTCTGTGACTATGAAAGATGGTATGAACAGTAATTGCCGATTTGATTTTGTAAACTTTCCAGCTCTACAGGATTACTTTAGGGTCTTTGTGTGTAGCTTTCATGTTCTTTAGCACGAATTGGGGTCTCACAGCGTGATTTCCCACTATAATAAGCTTTACTATCAACACAGCTTAATCTGTAGACATAGTTCTGTGCAATGGTAAGGGAAATTCTATCTTTTAAGTGAAATAAAGCATTCCTAAGAGTGTTGGTTGTCTTATTAAGGGTCCTAATTCGATGTTCTCTTACATTCTTTTGCAGCTTATCCGTCGTAACTTGGCGGAATGGTAGGACTGCTGTACTAATCCAGGACTTATCATTTTATTTTCCCCTTTGATTCCTTTATTCATAATTTTTATTCTTTTGAATGGTATTCTTAGGGTAATTATTCGAAAGAAGGATGACTGAGGCACTTCACATCACGTTGAGTTCTAAAGCACTCAACAGAAACGAAAGCATAACTATCCAATAAACTTGGACACCATATCCGAAATAACACGTGCACAATAGTCATAACCAAAGTACATGCAGACATAAACAAACTGAATACTTCATCTATAGTATCCTTCCTACTACCTTCAGACTCATTCATTTACCTTGAACTCATGAACTGATAACGATGACACTTATTCCCATATTATTATTATTATTATTACTATCATTACTATTATGCATGCACAAAGTGGTCTAATTTGTTGCCATTTACTATGTAAATATCCGATAACTTCTATAGGTTTTATGCTCTGAAGAAGCGGTTTCCATAAGGTTGCGAAACATCAACAATTTATTATTCTTATCTTTAAGTCAGTCAATTTCAACATAGGACCTGGTCTCAAGTCTCCTAATTCAAATAAATACATAAAGATAAATCACAACATATCTGGATTTTCATGTACCTAATTATGTGAACCGTTTAGATAGTTTGAAGATCAACTAGCAAGTGGTGATTAGGAAATAAAATGCGTTAGTGTGAGTTATTAATTTGTAGAATAAGTTACTCGGGATAAACCTGAATAACCAATGGTGTGATGATGATGGATTGTAAAAGCGACCTAATCAGCCTCGGAAATAATCAATTTGCTTTCTTCGTTTTGGTCCATCGGGGAGTTTTTCATAAAATAGGGAAGCGTAATTGACTATTTTGGTTGTTGCTAGAATAGCTTTTAGAGTCCCTTGAGTAAGATAGATTGTACAGTCGGGTAAACGATCCCTGTTTAGTGCGCATGACTTGATAACATCTCTATCTTTTAAGTAGGCTGAGCAGTGAAGTCTTCTGCCTTCTACAACCATGCACATTTTCATACTACAACATATTTGTTCAATTGGAAGAGTAGATGAAAATAAAGGCTAGTATCTATTGTACTATTCCTTTTCTGACTACAACTATACTTTTAGCTTTATATTTCCATAGAGAGATTATCTAAATAGATTAAGATTATCACAAATACCTAAAATACAAACCTTTGTGTATACCATCTTACGGTGGACATCCATTGTATTTCAAGCATTTCTAAATAAACCTGAACAAAACGAGAAGGGGAGACGTTTTGTTCCACAAGTACCCCTCAGCTGAGTACAGTCGAAATGCACAATTGTTATTTGGACATATTATGTTTCAAAATTAGGAAATCAATAATCTTAAGTTGTGTAATAAAACACGCAAGTGTGTTGTTTGACAAGCTCAACAAGGCTCGTTCTTGCATTAGATCTACTATGGAATATAAGCATGAAATGAGTTCAGTCTTTTGGACTTCAGTGTAAGAAGAATTGATGATACAACTTAAAAGGCCATCCATAGAAAAAACACATGAACCGAGCAATATTTTAGCTATAATAGTTTCCATCCTCCTGGTTATAAGCATGAGTTAGTCAAAACACTTTAAAACAGGGCTAATAAATTGTGTTTTGTGAACAAATTAGAGCAAGAACTAAACATTATTGAGAATTATCTCCAAGAGATTGGATACCCTAAGAGATCTACTATGAAGTATGGTAATGAGCAGATCAAGAGAAATAAACACCCAACTGTGGATAAGTTTTTTATGCACCTTACATTCAAGAGAGACGTAGTATTAAAGAGAATAGACACAAGAATTGAAGGAGCACTAAGGAGGTGGTTTCCTGCAGCTAACCTTGTGCACTATACAAAGCTATATGCCCGCTGAACCAGCCAAAATTAAGTAATTACCCTGCTCACGTCACCTAAAACTACATTTATGAATTCATATATACACTTGTGGTAGCAATTATATCGAAAGGGCCGAGAGAAAGGCATCCGTTCGGTTCTCTGAGTTCATCCTCAAGAGTCTGTGATTGAAGGGAAGTAAAATTCTAACCAGTTTAATCGCCAGACACCTGGTAGACACAGGACATTAGGTTGAAACATCAAATGTTTTTAAAGTAATACATATACAGAAAATGCCTGGACTGCGGCGCTTCGCGGAAGCAGTTGATGTAAAAACGTCTTCAACCTTACTTTTTCATACAGAAGAAGAGTATGGTTAATGTCTCACTCCCTGGTGACTATGAATCGATCCTATTTCATAATAACTACATTTCATTCTGTAGACATCGTCCTTCTTGCTTTATCCAAATCCATGGCATTATTCCAACTTATTAAGCTGTACTGATTACACATTTGTGGCATTTTCATACGTTCACTAAGTAAAATTTGGTGGTTTGTCTCATTTCTGTTGAAAATCGGAAAACTTGTTTCAATACCAAGAAGGGACTTTTACAAGGCAGATGGCAACCAACATACAGAAAAGTTATGAATTAGAAATAACCTTTTCAAAGAATAGTAGCTACCGTTTACAGAGCTGAAAAGACTAAAATATTACATACAATGAAGGGGGAGACTTTGAAGGCCACCTTAGCAGCAACTGGAATAATTAGTCGGACTTCTTTATTTTATGAAAATCTGCCTTTCCAGCCGAAATGAAGCCTAATTTGTTATTCTGATCCTTGTTAGAGTGATCTTTAGGTGCATGTTTAGAGCTTGACATAATTCTAAAACCCTTCTTTTTCTGACATCTTTCATTCTTCCGATTGCATTACTTCAGAAGTGACATTTATGTCCCTGATGGCTTAATGGACAGTACTGCAGCGTTTAAAGCCGTGGCTAGTCGATTCGACTTCCGGCATCAATATCAACCTGGATATCAGTTAGTAAGCATGTAAAGGGATGGCATCTGCATCGTGGATTCTGTTCTCATTCATCATCAGGCAACTAAAATGAGGGCAACCTCTGCCTTCATATTTAAGTTAACTAAATGTTTTATTTACCATGTTTAGTGTATTCACTGTCCACATAGGTGTCCTATTCTACTCCTCATATACTTGATTAATAATGTAAGACTTAGGTGTTATCCATTCCAAAGTAAAATTATGACAGAATTTCTAAGAATCATAAGATATTTCGCTGTTTCAAGTTCATAGAAACTTCAAAATTTACTTGAGATATTAATTTAACTCACCTCTCCTTTGAAAACGTATAACTCTAAATTACGTATTTTAATAATTGCATCAACACTGATATTGCAAAAATCAAATATTTTCCCTTTGACTGGAGCTTCTGTAGTCACAGGAGCTGAAAGAAAAGTTATAAAAGGTTAACAAATCATTTGTTTTACAAATTTATAAATAGTTTACAAATATCAGATAAGTTTTGATCGCAGGTCAAAATAAATCAGACACCTGTTGAAAACTAGGAGCATTGCCTTATGCTGATTTGAGCGGAAAAATCCATTTTGAAAAAGGTTGATTTCATAAAAAAGTCAGAGGTGAATAACAGTTTACTTAACAACATGAGCAGTTAAAAACCACTCAGACTGATCTGTAGATTTCTTTGGCTAGATCAGGGAGATTAAGCACTGAATGGCTGTTTTGAAAGTTTGAGGCCGAGCTCATCAGCAATGTATCCGGACAAATTTAGCTCATCCAGCCAAATTCTTCAGATCACATAAATCTGACTGGCTGACTTGCATGCATCACTATAACTTAAATACGATGATCAATTTTCACATAATTTATAAATTGCACGATTCACCTTGACTTTTCACACAAATGAGTAGTTTCTCAACTGCCAAACTGTGATGTTGACAAAGGCAAATGAAAGACGACTCAGCCATGAGAAATATCAACATAGACCATGGAACTTGTAAGTAATTTACAAACTGACTACTTTACTGAGTAATAGTCCACTTCTAGGTATCGGTTCGGTTCGAAATGGACTGAGATTTTAGATGCCAGTTATACACTTAAATAAATGGTGATATTCATTGTGTTCAACCTTCTAGTGTCTTACGTTTCAACAAGGGGGTCGATTTCGCGTATCCTTGGTGCAGTAAGTATTTTGCTTCCCAGCTCCTGTAAAGAACTGATATTTATGGCAAACCAAGGCATTAAAACAGTAACTCGATATTATATCATTACTTTTGTCTTTTGGGTTCCTAGTGGAACATACCGCTTCAGTAGCACGCCTCCATTGCACTCTCTTCTCTGCAGTCCTTTGAACCTGGTTCCACGACTACCCAAAAGCTCTCATTTCTTCCTCACACCATCTCCTCCATGTCACCCTCGCCTCGGATGCCCTACTAGTCGTTTCCCATTTCGGTTCCACCCGACGACCTGGCCTGGTGCATGATGTCCCCAATCCGTCTTCTCAATGTACGACCAGTCCATCTCCGCTTCCTTCTGCATATTTGTTGGGCAATGGGTTCTCAGTTGGTCCGTTGCCAGCTAGACAGAGTTCCTCGTTGCTTGTTCTTATTCTTATACTCTAGCCATCTGATCTTCAATATCGAGCCAGCGTAGGCAGCACTTGAGGCTGTATGTCTGTAGTTTGTTGGAAATGCTTTTCGTAACGCGCCAACTCTCTCAACCATCATATAGAAGCACTGACTTGACGTTAGTGTTGAAAATCCGAATCACGTTCTTTATGCTGAGTGCAGAAGGTCTTCATATTGGTTTCAGGTTAATGAACGCCTGTCTCACTTTTCCAATCCTGGTTTTGACGTCCTCGTCTCTGCCGCCTGTAGTTGAAACAGTGCTGCCTAGATAGGTGAAAGAGGTTACTTCCTTTAAGTTTCTCCCGTTGATGGTGATTGGAGCTTGTTGTTCCTGATGCTGTTGTTGGTTGAGTATCTTCATCACCTCTGTCTTCTCTACGTTCTCTTGAAGTCCCGTCTCCCTTCACTGCCTCTTTTGTCAACTTGTTAGTTTTCGTCTGTACATCTTCGAGTTTGTGCGACATCAGACACAAGTCATCGGCGAAATCCAAGTCTTCTAGGTTCTTTTCATCGGCCCAGCCGGCGTATCCCCCTCTTCTCGATCCTCACTGTTTGTTGCATGATCCAGTTAACTACAATCAGGAAGATCATCAGGGATAGTAGACAGCCTTGTTTTACTCCTGTCTTCACTTCAAAGGCATCACTGAGCTTCCCATTGTGAATTATTTGGCATGTCGCGTTTTCATATAGCTGTTGAATGAGGCTGATAAAGGTTTGAGGTATTCCGTAGTGTTGAAGCAGTTGCCAAATTACTTCTCAGTCGACGCTGTCGAAAGCCCTCTCAAAGTCGATGAAGTTGAGGTACAGGTACAATGGACTGCCATTCTATGCTCTGTTCTATGGTGATGCGTAGTGCAGCGTTGCAATTTGATCCCCACATGGTTTGTTCTTCCTGAGTCCAGCCAAACAGCCTGTGGTGGTCGTAATTTTGAATCCAGCGCCACTTTTAGTCTCTCCAGGATGATGCGGCATAATATTTTGCTTGTGGTGGACAGGAGCATGATTCCTCCCCAGTTCTTGCAAACGCTAACGTCACCCTTCTTTAGGAGTTTGACAAGGTAGCCCTTCTTTCAATCTGCAAGTACCTTCGCTTCCTTCCACACCTTCTGCAATAGTGGTGTCAGCATGTTTGTTGTTGTCTCTGCATCTCCCATTTTCAGTGTTTCTGGTGGAATTCCATCTGGTTCTGCTGCTTTCTCGGATTTCAGTAGCTTCATGGCATTCAGGAGGGGTTGTGTTCACTGGTAGTTCTGTGGCTGCAGGTGGTATTTCTGGACAAGTTGCACGTGGTGGTGGTGATGGTGGTCGATTCAAGAGTTTTTGAAGTGGTCAGCCCATTGTTTCCTTGGTAATTAGGTTTCCTTCACTATCTTTCATTTATTTCGTCTGAGCTGATCTCGTCCCGGATAGCAGTAACTTTGTTATTTGATATAATGTTGTCAGGTCTCTGTCTCTTCTACCAGCAGCCTGTTCTGCTTCATTAGCCAGTGTTTCGTAGAAGTGTCTTTTGTCTTCGCGCGCACTTTTCTTCCCTTCTGTTTCCAGTAACTCCATGAAATTAGTATTTTCGTTGACTAAAATGTTGACTTCAAAATAAGATTTTATTTTGAGGTTGTTATTAAGCATCCAAAGACTATCCTTGAAAGCAGACAGTGAAGCTTTCAAGAATAATTTATCGATGGATACTTGAGATATTAATTGAGTTTCTGGTAATGTTGTTGCTTGTATTATAGCGTCGTTTATTGGACTAATTGATCAGTCTCTATTGGCATATGGGCACCTGTGTGGATGCCTCGATTTTTTATTTATTTGAAGTACGAGTAGGAACAAAATCCCTCACTGGTAGGCAGGTACACTTGGCTGATTAGTCGTAAATAGGACGAAACGCGCATCCTGGATTCCACTGCTAGCGACCATTCATCATTAATAAATTTCTAGTATTTTTTGAAGATATTTAGTAAGCAATACTTTCACATTTCTCATGGTAAAATGGCACAAAGTTCATAATCCGTTGACATGAGAGTGTTTACATTTTGTTTGTTTTTGCATTCGTATTATAGTTATACTATAGTTATTCTTCAGTTGAATAACTAAGTATACCAAGAAGTTTGAGTGTAATTTATCATCTAATGTCAGCCCATTTCCTAAAAACAATGTCATTTTTTAATGTTTCAATATTGAAAAGAATGTCCAAGTACAATATGATATCATTGGAACTACTTTGAATTCAAGGGATTTTTTCCATATTAGTAGGAGTATGAAGTTCTTCTTATCTTTAAATAAAGTCAGGGTAACGAATAATCTTACCATGCATTTAAACAAGCTCTTAATTCTTTATCCATTTAATGCTAATAAAGTATATACGGTAGTAGACGGAAATATTTTCACACTTCCATTGTTTGCTTATGACTAAAATTTTATAACTTTTATTGTGAAATATCATTTCAGCAGATTCCTTCAATAAAGGAGTAAAGGTTTATTCATGTTTTCCACTAATGAGTTGATGAAAATCAAGTACCTTATTGAAAACTAATTTACAGAGTACTATTTGTTAAGTTAGAAGCATAACAACCTCATCAGAATTCATATTTTCAAAGATTACTTCCAAAACTATGAAAGAGTGAAAACTGGGAACTTTGGCAGAGTATAGTTCCATATTAGATTGTTTGTCTGATATTGTACACAGTAATACGCAATAATATTTACTTAACAGACACTTAATGAGCAGTTTGTTGTTCATTATCATATCAAAGTAATCAAATAACTTTGACACTTTACTTTTTTATAATCCAACAGCTATTCATTCCTTCATTTCAACGGTAGTAGAATCTTCCAAATATCTGAAACGTTCGAGTGGTTTTCATCACGGACTGGTGTCAGTTGGAAAATCATTAGAAACTAGAGAGTACTGGAAAGCCGTTTCGTTCTGGTATGGGACTCCTCAGAAGTATGCACCCATGACCCTACTAGGGATCCCGGGTTTGATTCCCGGTAGGGTTATCAGTGCAAAAAGCTGAGGAGTTTCATACAAGGAAGAAACAGATGTCCATGACTCCTAGGTTTTAGGCCGTTCTCCAACTGACATCGGTGTGCGATGAAATCCATAAATCCCACAAACCTCCAAACCGAAATATCTCCAACGTGGGATGAATCAACCCTATATTAAGTACATTATGTTAATTCAATAAAAAGAGACTCTTTAATCTATCTCTTTTTCCACCTAGACATTTTAGACTTTAGAATCGTCGCCTTATTCCACCCCATAGTGTGATTATGGGTTAGGGCGTGCAGAGGGATAATTTGTTTTTTTCTTCGAACTACTTATCACAGTAGGATCTATAATTCTGTTTCGTTGAATTCGTAGGCTCTTCTTCAGTAACTGACCACGAACGGCTTATTTGACCTGCATATTTCGCCTCATAATCACTACATACTGGATAGATCAGGATATTTTTTATATTTCTATATTGTGGATCTCATGACCTACAAAGATTCTGTTTGAATGAGTTTATGAGTTTTAATCCCACCCTAACCCCAGTATTGCTAAGTCTCCGACCCAGTAAATACTACTGTATCATCGTGCGTTATATCAAATATGCCAGTTAATATGGAGTTACTTCCAAACAGTTGACTTTTGATGTAATAAAATGATGTTAATTGTCTGTTCAGAAACTAGTCCACACGACAATTGTTCTACCTTTTTTCCTTCCACTAGATTAAAATTCTATCCTTTAAATACTATTTACTTTTCGAGTAACTGGTAACCTCATGTTATGTAGCCTCCAAATATTCAAAATGTGTCAAAATAAGGATGAACAGCTAATCAGCAGACAGTCTTCTATGCTACTTAACACAGTATTTATAGGATTTCCATTTACGAAAACAGAAGATTGTTGCTGATTAAACAGTGAAGAAATAGGTGACAATGAATTTATCCATCTTTTGATATTTCCTTATTTTTGACCAAAAAATGACTGATGAATCTTTGTGCAGACTGAAGTGTAGGGTTTTACAGTAAAGAATGTTTTTCGAAGTGAACTAATGTTATTTCGAAGAATATATATAAGGGAACAATGTTATTTTCAGTTAGCTCTCATCAGGCTTTACTCTAATATACATAATTTTTCTCATGTATAAAACATTAGACCAATAGTCATGATAGATTCTTTAGACTGTGGCAACTGGGAAATGAAGCATGCGAATAGCAGCTATCTAGACAATAACAATAATAATGGTAATGATTATCTCGATGATGATGAGAATAATGGAAACAGCATGGTACTGCAAACATTTAGACATTCAATGTAAGTCAAAAATAAAAGTTTCGTAATACTAAAGGATGAAATGTACAAACAATCAAAGTATAAACAAGCACATATGTGTGAAAGGGGCGAAAAAAGGGGAAGAGGATGAAGACTGAATTTATTTCTGATGTTATTTATTAGCCAACAGATTAAAGGTGCACAAACGTTTTCTGCACACAAAGAATAGCTTTGGTTTCTCTAATTTCCATAGTCTCAAATGTATGTAAAGTGAAAGTGCGAATTCTCTTCGAAAGAATTTGTGGGATGTGACAGATTATTTTGAACGCTTCGGTCTTGTCTGATACATGACCACTGTCGATGGAATGCGATGGAAGTGGACATCATATCGACTTCACTTGTCTCTTTCTCAGCTATGACGGTAGGTGCTCAGCAGCACGTTTCTTAAGCTGCATATTTGTACGCCCATTATAGCTTCTTCCGCAACAGCAACTGAACTGACAAATGCACATAAAAGTGGGAGAACTACCAGCTTGGTTTTTGTATGGGCAACAGTTATCTGTCGATTAGAAAATGATAAGCAAAGGTTAGCAGCATCGAAAGTTCTTCTGATGGCTGTAGACTGCCTCCGAAATGGAACTTCACCAGTTGCATGCCCTTCAAATTGGAGCTTCATGAATGATAGTTTGTTTTGAACGACCATTCGTTCAGATTTCTCACTAATTTTATCTGTGTCTCTTGATAAAACTTATAGGGTAAGCCATTTCTACCAGCATATTATGAATGTATCCTGACTCCTTTTGCAACAGACCATCGGAGTAGATCCCTCTGCCACTGCCTGCAAGACATTTAATTCAACTTCTTTTGAATGGGCACAAAAGGGAATTTATGTACCTACCCGTAGATGTGTTCTTTCTGTACACCCTACTAATCTTATCAATAGGATATTTAAAAAACGTAACATATTTTCTTAGTCTCCTTCACAAATGAAAATGAGAGAAGGATGTACGTCGTTGAATCTTCTTAACAATTCGTTTTTGTCGACGTTTTGATCAAGGACATCGTTTATACTTACGCAGACTTGTGATGACATCTTTTAGTGGTCCATTCTCAAGTTTAGCAAGAAAAAACAGCTAATATTGGGCCTAATAGTAAACCCATGTAAACTCGATCAATTAAAACGAAAATGCACATTCATGGTGCATCCTAGAAGTAATTGTTTCAGACCATCTTCTGGAAGTACAACACTGATATGTTTCTAATATTTGCTGACAAGTGGATTCTTCTGTTTCGAGAAGCGTTACATTGGTGAATAGAGAAAAAACATTTGAAGATATCAAATACTTCCCATTCATACTCACCTTTTCTAAACTAGGGATGAAATCAAATACGTCTTCAACACTATTCTTTACATCTTGTTTGCGTAGGGACTGTAGAACCCCGATTGGCCAGGTCGCGATTTTATGATTAGGGGGAACTGGACAAATCTAAAACCTGACGAAGAGGAAGTTACGGTTTGTGAACTCCAGATAGACCATTTACTCGCAGTGTGTAATAGTCTGTGGGTTTAATTGCCTCGTACATAGTCGTAGAAATTACACCCTCTTATCTTAGTTTTTTAAGGATGTTTGTCAGTTATTTCTCCGCTTCACCGTTTCAATCTGTACCGTCACAGAGTTTTGGATACTTTGCTTGGTCATTCAGTAGAAAGTTCATTTTGTCAGTGTATTCGATTTTATCCATCAACACATCTGCTCCTTCATCTGGTTTAATTATAATCAGGCTTTCGTCTTTTTTTGGTGTTCTCAAAGCTTCTCTATTTTGTCTGTCAACAAACCTTTAGCAGTATAAGTACTATTTGTGTTTCACTGGCAGCTCTGAACCAATGTTGTTTTGAATCTAGGAAGTTTACCTTCAGATGATGAGACTAAGTCATTTGTTTGTGAAATTAAGTTTTCACATCGTACATTTGAATCGAGTTGATTAAAATTATGTTTGAAGTCACAGAATTTAGGGCCGAGTAATAAAATTTTTAATTGGAACTTAACTAGTCGTACACTGGAAAAATTATGAACATACTGATTGAGGTCTGTGGGGAATTTCTTTTCTGACTTTCAGTTTTCTACTGACTTGATTAGTCTCAGTCTTTTTTCTCAGCTCTGTTTTTGGAGATTTCATCTACGTAGTCAAGAAAGCTAAGTAATAATTTCTGTGGTAGATCAACAGCGAATTTCATTTGTGATAGATTCCTTTCTAAGTCAAAGATGTTTAATTCTATCGAATTACTTTTTTTCTGAGTTTTAACCTAAATTCATTGTCTAAATGTTTGCAGTACCATGCTGTTTCCATTATTCTCATCATCATCGAGATAATCATTACCATTATTATTGTTATTGTCTAGATAGCTGCTATTCGCATGCTTCATTTCCCAGTTGCCACAGTCTAAAGAATCTATCATGACTATTGGTCTAATGTTTTATACATGAGAAAAATTATGTATATTAGAGTAAAGCCTGATGAGAGCTAACTGAAAATAACGTTGTTCTTCTTCAAATTTAGATAACGGGAATTTTTACATTCTTAGTGATATTTAAACTATTTCAAGAGGCACATACATATGTAAGATGCAATCATTACTTAGAAGAAACTCCTAAATAGAATCCTTTTCAGTAAACCACTGACAGAGAACCACTTCCTAGATTAACAAATGTATTTGTCCCCACAAACAAAAGACTGAATGTCGGATGTATTCCTTATTCTCCTCAACATTATTCACGCATTTCACTTTTTATCTGACCGATACAAACTGTCACTGACACCAGATGGAGGAATATTTGTTCATGAAATTTGCAACCAGATTGAAAAATTCCTGTTCGCTGACCATAGAATTCTAGCACCAAACAGACTTCAAAGTAGTTTTAATGTTGAGAAAAGAAGTTGAAATGCACTCAGCCATAATACAAACTATCGTGCCATATCGAGTGAGTCACATCCATTATGTGAGGGCTAATTCCCCCTAAGTGGATGACCAGATCCAAGTAATTGGAGAGGGGTTGGTACCTGTCAGGTACTGGCTGACCCAGAGAGCAACAGCTCCACACGTCACATTATACACGTAATCCATAGACTATGACTGGTAACTGTGACTAAAAAGCTAAGTTAATCGTCGCCTGATGACGGTCTCATGTGTCAAAGTCAATAAATGTAAAATGTATGCCTTATTTTGGATGTTATTTTAATTTCTTCCTCCAGCAGGAGCTTTTATCTGTGTTTCTTTCTATTTTGGCCAATCTGATTACCAAATTACTTTTAAACTTGGAATAAGATGTCACGTTTGTCGGATGTTCCAGGAGCTCCTTATAATTGTGTGTATCAGTAGTATACACCATAAATCGCTTGATGTAATAATAGGAGATGACGTTTGGTTGGCGGTTTTGAGAAAAGAGTGGAGAATATTATGACGAAATATAGAAGAAGAAAGGGGAAACAAGTGAAACTAACGAAGAAACCATATGAAGGGAAAAGCAAATATAGTAAGCATAAAAAGCTTTTGTTAACCCTCTAGTATTAATTGTAATTTGTTTGATAACAAAAATCTCTTCTATTCCACCGGTTTTGGTACCTACAAGATGAGTGAACACTGGCATACTTACCGACCAGTGACTGATACTTACCACATTTGTTGACCTGAAGGCAGCATTTAACTCAGTCGATCGTGAGATGTTGTGGTAGTGTCTGACTGTGAAGGGAGTAAACAGCAAGTACATAATGCTTATCAAAGTTCTCTACTCAAAATCACACAGCCTTGTAAGGGCTTGTGAAAAGTTTTCATCGGAACTGAAGACAAATAGTAGTTCCCACAAGGGATGCCCACTGTCACTGTTGCTATAGATGAATAAAAGAAGTAACGTCAGAGGGAAGCCATCTGGTAGACTTGGAGTATGAAAACGAAGTTGTCCTGGTAGATGAAGACGCTGACGCAATGCAGGGTTTTCTAGACGTATTGAACAGAAATCTGAGTATTTTTGGTATGTGTTTCGCTGGCACCTGTCAAATGTAAGCTGATGCTCCAGGACTGGTCCGCTGCAAACACTCACAGTTTGATGATATGCAGTGAAATGGTGGAATGTATCGAACGCTTCACTTACCTGAAGATTTACATCAATCCGAACGAGGTGGTTGCCGACGAAATCTCAGATCGGATACAAAAGGCCTGCATTTTAATTTTCCCTCCATACAGTGATAATCAAATACTTTAAATGCTCATTTTAAAAGTAGACAGGTATATAAGTAATTTAGTCTTCTATTTATTTAAACGTATATCCAACAAGTTAACTAAAACTTCAAGTGAGTTTTAATTTGATTCAGTAAGGAAACAACTTTAGAACTTTGCAATACGAGATGGCTGGGTTGCTGAATTTCTAGTAACTCAGTGCTTTGAGAAACAGCTACTTACGGGGAGGAGGTATATCTGGTAGACTTGGTTCTGGTGGTATAAATTTACCACGTCTGGCAGCACCTGTAATGAAGCAGAATTAAGATAACATTGTTACAATTATTCCTTAGACAGAAACAATACAGAATTTGTTTTGAATAGATATTTTGAAGACAGATAAGAAGTTTGTCTAGACATTGGTAAGTATAAATAGGTCTATGAAAAATATTTTGATAACTAAACTGCAGACTAAGTTTATCACAAATATGATTTAAGTAATAGCTAAACATTCTAACAACTAAACTGACACGAAATATGAAACTTACTGCAATTCCAAACAAATATATATATATATATATATATATATATATATATATATATATATTCCTGCTATAATGATCACATAAAACTTGTGATAAACAGATTCTATTGAAGGTTTTTAAATCTTCAACTATTCGATAAGAGTATGTGCAAGATAATTGGATGAAAATAACTTAACACTTCGAGAAGAAACCAGTTTTGTCTGTTAAAAAGTAGCATCACGGTGGAATTGCATCAATTACAGAACTGTGGAAAACAAGCGAACATTGTACAGTTAGAGTGAGACTAATTAGTGGTTTTCATATGCTGTCGGATGAAGTCTCAAGCTGACGACCTACAGGTTCCATGGTGGGAATATTTCAAAGAGTTTTACTCCAGTTTTCGGCTTAGCTCCACGTTCTAGGCCAGATTACTCGTCAATATAAACTTTACTTCCAAGAAGGTGATGGATCGGTCTCCTAGCCGAGCAGGAGACATCTTAGCGACGCTTCTGCATGGAAGCGAACACTTCTACCAGAGCACTCTGTTATTGTTACCTCAAAACTGACCAGTGTAATCCCAGAATCCACATTCGCCAGGTTATTCGATGATTAACCGTACTCACTCCCCTCAGAAAGACTTGCATGGCATGCATCCCACTGGGCCTCCACAATCTTTCAGACTAGATTAAGCTTACCTTCCGGAAAGATTATTCCCCTCTCACCATACTGATTCAATTCCAGAGGCTTTGTTGGGCCACCGATGTTACATTCAAAAGCTAACGATATTGGCATTCCGAATCGAAAATCACTCATCTTCTCAGAACAATACCACACCACTACTCTTGGGAATTTTTCAACAACAGTGACTATCGGAATTAAGGGGCAGGATTACCTTACTTTCGGCTGGACTACTTCCAACGTACTGAGAAAGGAGGATTTTGACGACTACCTATAGCATGTGTGCTTTGGAGGCCCCCGCCACTAATCTGTGCACATGGACCTCGTCGAAATCTTCTACTGCCAAGCCAACTTTGATAGTGGACTGGTTGTTATCCGGCAGAGCCACGTGGAGCCTCAGCATCACTACACAATCATGGGTTAACATGTTATCTCCTGTTCTCCAGGCCCGTAGGATAAACAGTGGTATCAATTACCCAGCCACAAAGGGTTTCTTCATGTTGACATCACTGGAGGTAACTATGGTGAGGCATTTGACCACCTTAAGAGAGTTACTCCCATGTTTTATAACGGGAATGTTTACATTCAGTCACTGTGACGAAATTAAGTGGCTCACATTTTTAACCTTAAAATAAGCGATAAAGTATAATTATTGTCCAGTGTCATCGATGAGTATGTCCCCCCATTCACCTTAATTTACTTCCTAGGTCATGGTTTTTCATCAAAGCCTTATTGTCACACAGAAAGCAGCTTACATGTTCATCATTTCATGGATCAATGAAGTTGAATGTTCAAACCAACGGTAATACACTGTATCATAATGGATCATTTTAGTTTATTAGTGTAATGGTTTCAGAGCTCAGCAGTTTGTAATTTGGATTTCATGTGTTAGATAAATTGAGACACTAATTTAGTGGAATTAATATGCGTCACTTACTGGAATATCAATTGAATTTTAAACAAACCTCAGTTCAGATGTCAATTAAAGTGAAATATCAATAAGAGGTGAATAGCATTTGCTTAATACTCTGACATACATGAAAATGCTTTTCCATAAAGTAATGCTGGCTTGTCTAGTACTCACACTGCTGATGGATAGTGGCTAGCATTGGAATCCAGGGAGTGGGTTTGATCCTATTTTGGACTCATTAGCCGGATATACTTGCCTCCTAATGAGTGATGTTGTTCCCACAAAGATAAGAACCGTGGGACAACCGCTTCAAAAGTCAGAACAATACCCATTGGGACAACAGGCCACGACAGCCACTCCTTAAACGAGGAGCACTGTATAGTCTTTGATGTCATCGCTTGATGAGTCTCCGTAGCTGAATGAAGTGCATTAATCAAGCACTGTTGGCATATAGGCTCCTATGCGGACGCCTCAATACTGCTGGGGAGTATTACATTATTTTGGCTGAGACTAGTGTCTGACACCCATTGTCTCAAGAATTCATTGAACTAGTGACTCCTGAAAGTTACTCCCTGTGTAACCGGTATAATTCGCCATATAGTATTTTGAAAACCAGCAGATTCTAAACTTTAACAAACAGTAAATAGCATTTGAAAAAGAGGCAAATATTGTAGGTCGTATTCTGGTGTAACAGCAATAGCGGGTAGGTATATTCATCTATAAAGTCATAAACTTAGTGAAGCACTTATCCTGAATCCCACTTCTAGTCAACAGGAGATAAATAACACCGCCGATTCTGATGTACTTGTGTAAGTAACTGCAGTCGATACATAGGTTGGCGTAGTTGCTCAAAGTATCTGGAGGATGGGAAATTCGAAACGGAAATAACTTTCTGTATTAACTTTTACTCATTTCCTCCCAATGTACCGATAAGAAGAGTAAATCATTGTAGATATGCTCTATTATGTTAAGTTCTACACTGTTTCAGAAATTCTGAGAAAAGTGTAAAACTTGGACACTACGGTAGAATTTAATTCCATATTAGATTGGTTTATCTGATTTATAACACACAGTGATGACGTTTTGAGCACAAATTATCTTTGCTCATAATCATATCAATCTAATCACACTCATTTCGACATTTGATGTTTATAGTTCTGTCACCTCATATGATTTGTTTTTATTAGTAGTATAATCTTCAATATCTCCGGTATAGGTGTTGCGTGTTGATTCAATGAAAAAAGATTCAGTAATCAAGTCATCCCATCCAGTGTCAGTTAAGGCAGCCTTAGTCAAATATCTTAGTGAGAGAGCTAGAAAACTGTCTATTCCTAACAAGGAACTGAAATACGTAAAAGAAGCGCTAGTAGTTAATAATTATCCTCCGCAGTTTATTAGGAAATTGTTAAGAACACTGGAACGAAAAGATAACAGTAACACGAGTACTAATAATAACGACAACACAAGTAGAAAGGAGTTCACAGCCTCCATTGTGTTACCCTATAAGGAAGGTACATCAGAAACCTTACGTAGGATCCTCAACAAAGCTGGAATTAGGGGACATTTAAATCTACAAACTTACTCCGAGATAAGCTTTGTCGGCTGGTTTCAGGATCCGATGGAACCGATTAAGCAAAACAATATAATCTATCAAATTCCATGTAATGACTATGAGGTTAAGTATATAGGTCAAACTAGCCAGTTGGGGTCAGTTAGAATAACCGAACATAGGAATTTAGCCAAATATAGAATGACAGACCCAAATAAGATCAATAATCTAGAGAAAAACTCGACCACTGCAATGCATGCATTACTACACAACCACAAAATAGGGTGGATGGGATAAAACACCACTGTACTTAAGTTCAATTTGATTAGGTGGAGAGAGGTTGGTCACTGAATCTTTGTTCATCGAATAAACACGCAACACCTATACCGGAGATATTGAAGATTATACTACTAATAAAAACAAATCATATGAGGTGACAGAACTATAAACATCAAATGTCGAAATGAGTGTGATTAGATTGATATGATTATGAGCAAAGATAATTTGTGCTCGAAAAGTCATCAAGTAAATAATACCGTATCACTGTGCACTTTATATCAAATCAAGAAATCTAATATAGAATTCTGACGAAGTATGCACAACTCATATGTATCAATAAAGTAACTCGAAAATTTCGAAGTTAAAAGATGCTCAAGAACCTTGTACACATTCTCCCAGTGGGTAATGAGCCACACTTATTTTCTGGGGGTTAACGATACAAGCTGACTATCTAAACCTTGCTTAGCGAGGCGGTGTTCGATTCCATGATCTATTGGTTGAAAGTTACCTTCCTAAATCAATGAGTCACAGCTCCAACATCAAAGTGTAAAAAGGAGCAAAATTTGTTGTCTACAAATGGCTTATTTTCAAACAAGAACAATTTAACTCTATTTTAAAATTCAATTTCTGTAGAAAGCACCTTCATTTTCAACTTTCTTTGAGTACTGATAATCGTTTTTCGTAGCGACGGTCACAGAGTTTATATCCAGAAGATCAAAAGGGTAGATCGTTCATTTATGGAGTGTTGTCACATCAGCAACTGCTGAAAGAGGGATAAACTTTGCTGATCGTCTCATCTGTATGAACTGTATCCGTGAACAGTGGATAGAACTTGAAGAAAGTCACTTTTTATGGATTTCGAAGCTGGTTATGGTCAGTGATCGATAGATTAAGCTATAGTGGTATTTGGTGAGTTATTAACATAGTAAGGTTACGTCCACTCAGCTCAGAGAATGCAACATGAAGATTATTCATCTCAGCTATAAATATTCTTCATTATTTTAAAATTATCAAAGCTGTTTCCCACTGAGCATCGCTCAGTATACTACTATAGCTTTTGGATGAATAACTGAACGCATCTAGGATGAAATCTATCAAACTTTAGCAAAGTAGCAGTCAAACTGTTCAGTGTTTCGAAAATAGCACGACTTCCTAAAGAATATTCACAAAACTAGTAAAAGCAAATAATACCTAATGGTATTTTTCCTGGTTGTTGATTAGTAATTTCGCTAGTAAACAAAAATAATCTTAGATATATGATGTTCTTTTCCGAAACTAGACCTATGATTTTATAGAAGCTGAATTATTCACTGGGTTGTTAATTTTGTTGCAGAACCTTCCATTGTTACAGTAGGTATCATCATCAGTGCGCCTTCACAAAAGAGTGAAGCACTTTGATTGATTACTGATAATTATCTTTGTAGACTTGAGTTGATCACACTGACCAGCCAAGTCAAGTTTAAAGCGAAATTCTTGAATATTAGAGCAAAACGTGGGAACTATGGTATTTGACATAGTACGCAGTGACACTATAATTTACCAGATGACGTTTCGAGTAGAATTCACGGTTCATACTTCTATTCAGCTAATCACACGACTTCCAAAATTCCTTAATATAACCCAACAGTCCATTCATTTATGTTAATGGTAGTAAAACATTCCAGATATCTTCAACATATGATGAGTCATTCCTGTTACATGTATTCGGTGTGGATTCAATGAACAAAGATTCTGTGATCAATCTCTCCCTCCACATAGCTAACTATATTGGATGTTAGAATGATCACACTATCCCAACTAGGGTCTATCATTCTATGTTTCGCTAAATTTTTCTGTTCCGCTTTTTTCGCTAACCCAGATGGGTTGATTTGACCTATATACTTGACCTCACAATCATCGTATGGTATTTGGTAGATTATTATTATTTGTCAGTTGGGTTCCTAGTGGAACATACCGCTTCAGTAGCACGCCTCCATTGCACTCTCTTCTCTGCAGTCCTTTGAACCTGGTTCCACGACTACCCAAAAGCTCTCATTTCTTCCTCACACCATCTCCTCCATGTCACCCTCGCCTCGGATGCCCTACTAGTCGTTTCCCATTTCGGTTCCACCCGACGACCTGGCCTGGTGCATGATGTCCCCAATCCGTCTTCTCAATGTACGACCAGTCCATCTCCGCTTCCTTCTGCATATTTGTTGGGCAATGGGTTCTCAGTTGGTCCGTTGCCAGCTAGACAGAGTTCCTCGTTGCTTGTTCTTATTCTTATACTCTAGCCATCTGATCTTCAATATCGAGCCAGCGTAGGCAGCACTTGAGGCTGTATGTCTGTAGTTTGTTGGAAATGCTTTTCGTAACGCGCCAACTCTCTCAACCATCATATAGAAGCACTGACTTGACGTTAGTGTTGAAAATCCGAATCACGTTCTTTATGCTGAGTGCAGAAGGTCTTCATATTGGTTTCAGGTTAATGAACGCCTGTCTCACTTTTCCAATCCTGGTTTTGACGTCCTCGTCTCTGCCGCCTGTAGTTGAAACAGTGCTGCCTAGATAGGTGAAAGAGGTTACTTCCTTTAAGTTTCTCCCGTTGATGGTGATTGGAGCTTGTTGTTCCTGATGCTGTTGTTGGTTGAGTATCTTCATCACCTCTGTCTTCTCTACGTTCTCTTGAAGTCCCGTCTCCCTTCACTGCCTCTTTTGTCAACTTGTTAGTTTTCGTCTGTACATCTTCGAGTTTGTGCGACATCAGACACAAGTCATCGGCGAAATCCAAGTCTTCTAGGTTCTTTTCATCGGCCCAGCCGGCGTATCCCCCTCTTCTCGATCCTCACTGTTTGTTGCATGATCCAGTTAACTACAATCAGGAAGATCATCAGGGATAGTAGACAGCCTTGTTTTACTCCTGTCTTCACTTCAAAGGCATCACTGAGCTTCCCATTGTGAATTATTTGGCATGTCGCGTTTTCATATAGCTGTTGAATGAGGCTGATAAAGGTTTGAGGTATTCCGTAGTGTTGAAGCAGTTGCCAAATTACTTCTCAGTCGACGCTGTCGAAAGCCCTCTCAAAGTCGATGAAGTTGAGGTACAGGTACAATGGACTGCCATTCTATGCTCTGTTCTATGGTGATGCGTAGTGCAGCGTTGCAATTTGATCCCCACATGGTTTGTTCTTCCTGAGTCCAGCCAAACAGCCTGTGGTGGTCGTAATTTTGAATCCAGCGCCACTTTTAGTCTCTCCAGGATGATGCGGCATAATATTTTGCTTGTGGTGGACAGGAGCATGATTCCTCCCCAGTTCTTGCAAACGCTAACGTCACCCTTCTTTAGGAGTTTGACAAGGTAGCCCTTCTTTCAATCTGCAAGTACCTTCGCTTCCTTCCACACCTTCTGCAATAGTGGTGTCAGCATGTTTGTTGTTGTCTCTGCATCTCCCATTTTCAGTGTTTCTGGTGGAATTCCATCTGGTTCTGCTGCTTTCCTGCATTTCAGTAGCTTTATGGCGTTCAGGACTTCCACTTTTGTTTGAGGATTTATGTTCACTTGTAGTTCTGTGGCTGGGCTGCAGGTGGTATTTCTGGACGAAGTGCAGGTGATGGTCGATTCAAGAGCTTCTTGAAGTGGTCTGCCCATCGTTTCCTCTGTTTCTCTTCTTTGGTAATTAAATTTGCATCATCTTTCATTGGTTTCATTCGTGTTGATCTCCTCCCTAACAGATAGTAACCTGGTTATTTGATACAATGTTGTCAGGTCTCTCTTACCTGCACACCGTTCTGATTCATTAGCCAGTGTTTCGTAGAAGTGTCTCTTGTCTTTCCGTGCAGTCTTCTTCACTTCTTCGTCCAGTGTTTTATACATTGTACTCAGTTCCTCTTCTCGTTGTGCATCCCTGCACTGGTTTACCTTCTGCATCACCATTCTCCTCTCCCTGCTCTATCAGCTTCCATGTGTCCATCGAGATCCATTCCTTTTCTTCTTTCTTCCTTTTCATACGGTTATACAGGTTTCTTTCCACATAGCTTTCAAAGACTTCCAGTGTTCATCCACACAGGTTCCTTTAGGGATGTTCCTCGACATCTCGCATTTTGTCTTGATGGCTGTTGTGAAGATGTCTTTGTAGTTTCGTCCTTCAGTTTCCGAGTGTTGTTGGTAGATTAGGTTATTTTTTCTAATTGGCTTTACTGTATCTTTTAGCCTACAAAGTTTCTCTCTGAGCGAGTTTGTGCGACCCTACTAAGATAAATAATTTAGAGCAAAACTCAGCTTCGCTGTGCATGCACTTCCCCATAGTCACACACTATAAGGTGGGATAGGGTGATGATTCTAACATCCAATATAGTTAGCTATGTGGAGGGAGAGATTGATCACAGAATCTTTGTTCATTGAATCCACACCGAATACATGTAACAGGAATGACTCATCATATGTTGAAGATATCTGGAATGTTTTACTACCATTAACATAAATGAATGGACTGTTGGGTTATATTAAGGAATGAGCCGTAAATTCCACTTGAAACGCCATCTGGTAAATTATAGTGTCACTGTGTGTTATACCAACTAAACAATGCAACATGGAATTGGAATTTCGGAAAGTGAATGCAATTAATTTGGCTCCATTGTCTTGGTGATAACATTTGTTAGGAGACCGCAGTGTATGTAAAGTGAAACACGAATTTAGAGGGAAATTCAACTCAAATACCCTCATCCTCAGATATAGTGATATGTACAATCGCCATCTTTGTTTCACATCATATCATGTCTCAAACCTGCGGAATATACTTGCATAAGGTAAACAGTGATAACATCTATTAATACAAAATTTAATTTGAATAGTTAAATGGAGTGGAGCATATACATTTATTATTTAATTTTGAACATACCGTAAATTTGTTGTATTCCCGCAATATCATCTGGATCCAATTTAACCTTCTCCCATGTACTTATGTAATAAGGATACATAATTGCAGTTGGCACAGATGAGTGACCTAACCCTAAGCTATGACCTAATTCATGAGCCGCAACCGATATCAAATTTCGATGTGCTGAAAAAGAAACGAAATTAAAATGTGTTAGTTGTTAATTGTTTGCGTTTAAACTATTTTGTCGGCCGTCTACTATAAAAATACTACGAAATTCAAAAAACGATTTTAAGATATTTGAATTGTCCCATAAAAATGTGCTCATCGTATTTATGTTTGCTTCAAACCTAATTCATCATACAACGAAAGCACTTGAGTTTTTAAACAGTTTGCATCACAGGCTGACATCAATTAGCGAAGCTCCGAAAAACTGGAATCATTGGACAGTATTTTGTTCCAATTCCGGATTCCTGAGTAACTCCGCAAAGAATCCAACCGAGAACAGTTACTTTTCGCCTTATGCACATAACGGTAACGGGTTTCTGTCAGTTCACTACATAGAGCAACCACTATTCATCCAATATTCAATCTATCATCCATTACTCTCAGGGTTTTCAGTGGTTCGCTGTTCCTACGAATTGCCATTCGACTAAACAAATCGACTATTTTTTCGAACTCACGAAGTAGGTAAACATGGCTCAAACAAAATGAACTTCGACTGACTCATTAGTTGGTGATCTTATCAGCGGCATAAGGTTGTAGGTTTAGACAATCACAAAAGAGTAAAAAATCAGACGTCCTCACGTGTGACAGCACTGCATGAAGGTAACGCTATACTGAGAACTAACAGAAGTTGGAAAATATGGACCATTGGATTCCAACCCTGTTGATCAGTGGTAACTTCCCCACTGTGGAGCCTGTAGGTCCAGCGTTCGATTCCTGGTTAGGTCATTAGTGTGCGCTACCGAGAAATCTCATACTATGATGAAACAGTAGTGCCATGCTTCCAGGTTTCCAACAGTTCTCCAACTGATGTCAGTTCCCAATGAATACCAACCTGAGATCAAATTTTGTTAACCGATGGTTGAAAGTTTAGTGTTTCATTGAACTCAATCACCCTATAGAAATTTTCTTTGTCTTAAAAAAGATTTACCCAATTAACTTTTATGAAGAAGATTTCCATTGCAGTTAAATCAGGGTGCATTAATCTACTATATTGAAAGTTAGGCCTATTTTGTATGAAATAGTAAATCATGATAAATTAGCTGGTTGTGGCTAGCAGAAGAATCCAGTACGCGCGTTTCGTCCTACTTTGGACTCGTCAGCTGGATGTACCTGCACCCCAGTGATGTTGTTCCCACTGGGACTCGGACCTCGTACCCATCGCTTCAAACGCCAAGGCGTTATCCACTATACCACGGAGGGACGACAGCCGCTTCTTGTACAACGGCTAGTAGTTAGTACTACTTATTGACATACTTGTTATTCGCGGTGTTTTGTTGAGTCGAATTGTTCGACCTTAATTGGCATATGGGCTCCAATGCGGATACCTCGATATTGCCTGAATGTTAATTAAGATAAATTGGTTGGTTGTGGCTAGCAGAAGAATCCAGGACACACGTCTCGTCCTATTTCGGAACTCATCAGCTGGATGTACCATTCAGGCAATATCGCGGTATCCGCATAGGAGCCCATATGCCCATAGAGGTCGAACAATTCGATCCAACAAAACAACGCAGAATAACAAGTATGTCAATGAATATTAAAAGTAAATCAGTTTTTGTTTGTCTGTCACTGCAACAATAAATTGTTAAATTGAACTGAACATTCAGCTTTCCGCCAAGAACTCAAGCAGTATGACTATCATGTCAAGAAGTCAAACAGTAATGTGCTTTCTACCAGTTATTAGTTCTGAAAAGTAAATATGAAACTATGGGAAATCCCAGAGAATCAGGTAGTCATTATATACAAATTTTAGTATCTGTTATCATTTGCAAAGATGCAGCTAGAAGTTTTAAAAGTTAGGTATGAAATGAATCTGTGTGATCTGCACTCATTCAACTTGTGAACTGCTTGTTTCGACATAAATTGTGAATATGTGCCTATCAAGAAGCTCCAGCTAAGAGTTCCAGGATGTCAAATACTCAGTCGTTTTTAGAAGTGCTTCTCTTACATTTACTTCCGAAATTAATCAATTCCTCAATGGTAGGGAGTTACTTAGAGGCTTTGTCTGAAGGCATGTAAGAAGTTAGATAATAATACCAATAATAACGACCAGTAAATAGTCAATTCATATATTACTTTTATGAGGTCCATCATTCCATATTTCATCATCATCAAAATGTGCATCGCCTGAAAATGAGTAAACGTTATCTGGTGTTGGATAGTAAGCGTGTGCCAATACTCCACCTGTTTAGAATAAAAATCAAAGGAAAAGAAAACTAATAAAGAATAGAGCATTGAATATACAAATACTTTTGTACAATTCATAGTCTCATTTACCTGCTATAGTCTGGTTCACTGCAATGTGAACGATCTTCGGTATCTTTCAGAAATGCTAAGTAGCCCCTGAGAACCACAAGTTCAGAATAAGCATGTAATGAAGGATCAATAGAGGGATCTTTTGTTGAACGTGAACATTTGCAAGACACGGTTAGCATTAAGGGCATTCTTACTATGATAAGGATTTTCAGTGTGGCAGATTATTGAATAACATATATCACTGAGGTAAACACCTCTGCACTAATTTCAGGTGTACTGTTAGCTGGAGGTGATACAATGGTTTCGATTCACCATTATGTATTTTTCTGTAAATGCTTTTCACCAGAAGGTCTGAAGGAGATCCCTAAGAAATAATTCTACCATGATATTACAAGTATTTAATTACTTATTCTTGGTTTGATTTATTTGTCTAACATTCAACCATGAAACGTACTGAGTAAAATAGTCACGAGAATAGAAAACGCAAGTTCATCTAGGAATTACAAATCAACAACTTAAAGAATTCTATGGGCCATTTGGTCATAAATGCATATCAATAACATTGCTTGACACCAATATATTCAGGTTCTTAATAACAATTTCCATCATTAATACATAATTAAAACACCGACAGTATCGAGGTCTCTGTGTCAGAGCCCGTATGCCAGTAAAGATTGATTAATTCGGTTCAGTCAACGATGGGATAATACAAGTAACAACATTGAGACTATACCCATCACACAAGAATTAGCTGTCGTGAACCGGTGGTCTAGTGGTTAACGCTCCGTCTTTTGAAGCGATCAACCTAGAGTTCGAGTCCCATCAGGAACGACATCAATCACTAAGAGGCAGGTTCACCCAGCTGAAGAACCCCAAGTGGGACGAAACGCGCATCCTGGATTCCACCGCTGGCCACTATCCATCAATAATAGCTTAGTAACACTGTTGCAAATAACTATAGAACCAAAATTTTAAATTTTCTAGTGAAAAATCTTCGTGGGGAAGTTGACCAATTAGCTTGATGGGAATCAAACTTTTACGGTCTGTTGTCTTTTATTCTCCTTAGAAGTTCCTGTATTATTCCTTGCGATTTTCTTAGAAGATGGATAAAACTGAAGGTAGTCCCTACGAAAATTACACTCAGCTGAAAAAAAAATGTAAGCTAGAAAGCATTCGACAGCTGTTGTACTCTGTTCTAAAACACTTCAAACAAAGTGCACTGCCAACTGCAAGTCCTACAAGTCTCAAAACAAACATGCTACTTAGCATGCTCTGCTGAAGAGGCTGAGTTTCACAGTGATCAGTGGTATTAACAGCTGATGGTTGGATTATCAACAGATTAGACTGAAATTTCGAGTGTTTGCAACTAACTTTCGTTAAGCGGGTGCTCAAAACTCTCAGAAAGTGACTTATGACTTCATAGAGACAAAGAATATGATCCACTTAATATGATTTACGACTGTTTCTTTGATATGGTACATAGGTAGGAAGTTGTAGAGAGGCAAGTAGTCAAAATCATTAGGCTGAAAATACACCTTATGTAAGTTTATAGCGGGCCTAAGTACAACTAGACGCTTCCAATGTCAAGTTATTTCCGCAGTATAACACAGAACATTCTAGTGTCGTACATAGATCCGTTCAAACCAATGCGTAATTTGTTGCTATAGTTTCTAGATAAGCATTCTTCCCATTGTCTCAGTATCTCGTAAGTCATATTGTTGCTGTTATTATTATTTTTTATTATTAGTCCCTTGGGTTCCTAGTGGAACATAGGGCTTCAGTAGCACGCCTCCAGTGACCTCTGTTCTCTGAGATCTTTTGAACCTGGTCCTACGACAGCCCACAAGCTCTCATTTCCTCCTCGCACGACCTCCTCCATGTCACCCTCGGACGTCCAACTCGTCGCTTCCCATGGGGATTCCACTCGAGCAACTGGCCTGACGCGTGATGTCCCCAGTCGGCCTTCTCAGTGCATGCCCAATCCATCTCCACTTCTTCCTGCATATTTGTTGCGTGATAGGTTCTTGGTTGCTTCGTTCCCAGAGTTCCTTGTTGCTTATTCTTTCTGGCCATCTGATCTTCAGTAGCGAGCCAGCGCAAGCAGTTGTTGATGAATGTCTGTAGTTTATTGGAAATGCCTTTCGTGACGCGCCAAGTCTCTGAACCATGCAAGAGCACTGACTTGACGTTGGTGTTGAAAATCCGTATCTTGTTCCGCATGCTGAGTGCAGAAGATCTCCAAACTGGTTTCAGGCTAATGAACGCCTGTCTTGCTTTTCCGATTCTGACTTTGACGTCCTCGTCCGTCCCGCCTGTAGTTGAAACAGTGCTTCCTAGATAAGTGAAGGAGGTTACTTCCTTTAAGTTTCTCCCGTTGACGGTGATTGGAGTTTGTTGTTGGTGGTGGTGCGGTATCTTCATCACCTCTGTCTTCTCTATATTCACCTGAAGTCCCCTCTTAGCTGCCTCACCTTTTCTATCAACTTGTTAGTTTTTGCCTGCAGATCTTCAAGTTTATGTGACATTAGGCACAAGTCATCGGCGAAATCGAAGTCTTCTAGGTTCTTTTCCGCCGTCCAGCGTATCCCCCTCTTCTCGCTGCCTACTGTTTGCTGCATGATCCAGTCCACCACAATCAGGAATATCATGGGGGATAGTAGGCAACCTTGTTTCACTCCTGTCTTCACTTCAAAAGCATCACTGAGCTTCCCATTGTGAATTACTTGGCATGTGGCATCTTCATATAGTTGTTGAATGAGGCGGATAAAGGTTTGCGGTACTCCGTAGTATTGAAGCAGTTTCCAAATTACTTCTCGGTCGACGCTGTCAAAGGCCTTCTCAAAGTCGATGAAGTTGAGGCAGAGAGCTGATTGCCATTCTATGCTCTGTTCTATGATGATGCGTAGAGTAGCGTTGCAATTAGGTCTGCACATGATTTGTACTTCCTGAAGCCTGCCTGTTCCGGTCGCAGTTTTGAATCCAGTGCATCTTTAAGCCTCTCCAGGATGATGCGGCTTAATATTTTGCTTGCATTGGGTGGACAGGAGAGTGATTCCGCGCCAGTTCTTGCAAACACTGTGGTCTCCTTTCTTCGGCAGTTTGACAAGGTAACCCTTCTTCCAATCGTCAGGCACCTTCTCTTCCTTCCACACCTTCTGCAATAGCGGTGTGGTGTGAGCATGTCCGCTGTTGTCTCTGCATCTGTTCTCAGTGCTTCTGGCGGTATCCCATCTGGTCCTGCTGCTTTCCCGCATTTCAGTAGCTCTATGGCGTTCAGGACTTCCATTTTCGTTGGGGGATTTATGTTCACTTGTAGTTCAGCGGCTGCAGGTGGTATTTCTGGACGAAGTGCAGGTGATGGTCGATTCAAGAGCTTCTTGAAGTGGTCTGCCCATCGTTTCCTCTGTTTCTCTTCTTTGGTAATTAAATTTGCATCATCTTTCATTGGTTTCATTCGTGTTGATCTCTTCCCTAACAGATAGTAACCTGGTTATTTGATACAATGTTGTCAGGTCTCTCTTACCTGCACACCGTTCTGATTCATTAGCCAGTGTTTCGTAGAAGTGTCTCTTGTCTTTCCGTGCAGTCTTCTTCACTTCTTCGTCCAGTGTTTTATACATTGTACTCAGTTCCTCTTGTCGTTGAGCATCCTTGCACTGGTTTATCTTCTGCTTCACCATCCTCCTCTCCTCTATCAGCTTCCAGGTATCCATGGAGATCCATTCCTTGTCTTCTTTCTTCTTCCTTCCTAATACTGTTGTGCAGGTTTCTTTCCACATAGCTTTCAAAGACTTCCAGTGCTCTTCCACACAGGTTTCTTCAGGGATGTTGCTCGATGTCTCCCATTTTGTCTTGATGGCTGCCTTGAAGATCTCCTTTGTAGTTTCATCCTTCACTTTGTGTTCCGAGTGTTGTACTTGAATTGAGGTCTATCACCAGCTTTCTTGAAGGCTTTTAACTTGATTTGGAAGGTTCCTTGCACTAGATAGTGAGTGGTATGAACCTACATCTGCTCCTCTTCTTGACCTTGTGTTAAGTAGACTGCGTCTCCATTTTCTTGAGATTGAGATAAAATCGATTTGGTTTTTAGTGTGTCCATCTGGTGAAATCCATGTCGCTTTGTGGATATCTTTGTGCCTGAACACACTGCCTAGCCTCCAATCACCAAATCGTTGAGTTGAATGCGCAGAATTCTGCAAACAATTCTCCATTCTCATTCATTTCACCTAGCGCCTCTCGACCCATGGTTAGTTCTCTTCCTGTGTTTTCTGCTCCCAGTTTGGCATTCATGTCACCCCGCCCATTAGAATTTTGATATCGCCAACTGACGTCTTGTCCAGTGTTGATTGAAGTTGTCTGTAGAAATCCTCCTTTTTCTCTTCATCTGCATTATTTGTAGGTGCATAACATTGTATGATTGTGACCTTTCTTCCTTTTGAGTTGAATCTTGCTGTCATGATCCTGCATGAGGAGATTGGTTCCCACTGCATGAGAGCCTTCGATGCTCTTCAACGGGACATCATGATAGCCACTCCCTCAGTGTGCTCGTGGTTGTCGTCTGGGTGACAATATCGGAGTAGATTATTGACTCTCCAGTTGACAGTTTGGAGAGTCCACTCCCATTCCATCTGCTTTCGCAAATCCCAAGCACTTCGATGTGATACCTTCTCATCTCCTTTGCAATCTGGGCTGCCTTACTGGGTTCAAACATCGTACGGACATTCCATGTCCCCACGTTTACTTTCGCTTTCATCGAGGGAGAGAAGACACATCGGCCAATTGGCTTCCCGAAGGCTTTCACCAACTGGCGTCATTTCGCCTCTCCGATTCCAGCGGGGAATAAGTTTGTTTTCATTTTTTATATTTTGTTTGTGCTTTGAAGTTTCTTTAGCGGTTAGATTTGTTTTACGGGGTAGGGTTGCTAGCCCTATGCCCAACCTTCCCTCTTTACCCGGGCTTAGGACCGGCTAGTAACTAGTAAACTAGTTAACCAGACGAGGTTTGTTGCTGTTAAGATGAGCTTAATTACCATATGCACATATACTACTATTCAGTAGTTTGAATTTTTCTGAAAAACTTCCTTCATTCTGAAGTATTTCGAATAGCATTGGAATCCAGGACACGTGTTTCGTCCTGTTTGGGATTCGTCAGCTGGATACCTCTATACCCCAGTGAGTGGTGTTGTTCTCACTGAGACTCTGACGCAGCACTGATCAATAAGAACACCATAGGGCCGCAATGGTCACACGTTGTATGATGGGGAATTTCAATCTACGACATCGAAACTATACCCATAGTACAAGAAGTGACTATTTGACTCAGTATCCCAAAAGATAAAGCTCTGGCGTTTGAAGCTAGGGGTGCTTGGTTGAAGTTTCAGTGAGAAAAACACCACTCGCTAGGGTGCAGGTAAGTCCAGTTGGTGAATCTTAAACAGGAGAAAGCTTACCTCTTAGGTTTCCTTGCTAGCCACCGTCAGGCAAACAAAAAGATAATAAACAGATAGGCAATACCAAAGCGTCTACATGGGAGGCTGACTGATTTAATTCAGAACACCACAGGGAAATTGCAAGTACCAATAAATAATAATATCTTGAATAGCGTCTTATTTTATGAGCACTGTATAATCAAATGTCGTGCTATCTGACCACTTCTCAAGTCGAACAATTCATTACTGATTGTTCTACTTATTTGAGAAACGAGAAATCTACCAACCATATTAAATCTGTGAAACTGACCTGCTCCATCAAATGGTATTGAATCACCGTGTTTACCAGCGCCAAAACGTATCACGATATCAGCTGGCTTGTAATAATCTTTTTCTTCAACGAAGTCCAAATTAACCACCCTTGACCATAAGTTAAATGTATGCTGAAATACTGCATGTGTTCGTACTCTGGATAAAAAGTTTGATGGATAACTTTGAATTCTATAACAGAAAAAGAGGTAGACATGAATAAGCAATATGTTTTCAATGATCAATCATACATTAAGTAGATCTAGCACAGTATAAAATTATTAAAATAACGAACTTTTTCAAAAAAGGATAATCTCTATACAAAACTGAGTGACCTACAAGAACTGACTGGTAATCACAATACCAGTCAGATGATTCCTGGAATACTGTTTCAAGTGGAAGTTAGATTTAAGTCTTCTATTCAACTTCATTTGTTTTATCAGTAAGAGTATATAGAATGTATCAAAAAAGACTACTGCAAATAGTTAAAAATGATTGAGTATACTTTCCATGGTAATGAGTCATTTCCAGTTTATCTGCATGAATAGGACGATGGAATGTATAGGGTTTAGCAATATCTTTCAGTCACATCATGCCTACAGAATGTCCGTTTGATGAACAGAAATACACTGCACGTTGATCAGATCCTTGAGTATCAGCTGAAGGATGTTCGGTTGGGTATTGTAAATCCTAAGTTGACGTTCACCTGATGATTTTGAATAATGAGTCCCGATGATGAGAATACTTCGTTTGTAGTTGGTTAGAGACGGTTGATAGAAAACCTTGTTTGACTTCGGTTCCGTGCCTGTTTGCACTGGCCAATAAGGTGTATCTGTTGTCTAGAGGGAAATGATATCCGGTCTGAGATTTGAGCCCGAATCACCTAGTTCCGCAATCACAGACGTTAACACTTAATCTGAATGACAAAATGCTCGCCATGAGGAATGACTGCATTCTATCTGATAGTACTTAGAACTTGATGACACGAAATAGGTTATTCTCCAATGAAGAAACAATGTTATCCAGTCATACACACGGTCAGTCTTGGCCTTAATATCTCAGTGACAGCTTATTTAACTGCAACAACCGGTGAAAAAGTTTTGAATATCAGACTGGACGTCGGTCACCTTGTTGACGATTGATGAAACAAAGGTGCACTGTGGCGGTGATTCTCTTGATTTACTAAGAATATTCCCAACCGATCGACAGAATCTGGTCAACACTCAGGTTTTGGTTTTAAATAAATAAACAACTATACGACAATAAGTTAACCAGAAAAGGATACCAGGAAACTTTATGTTCTTTTAACTTTTTCGGAGTATCCATAAAAGTAACCGTTTATAGCTACTCACATTAGACTATAAATCTATGCTGAACGATGGTATTTTCGTCCATCCCTCTTACAGCAGATTAGTGTTTGAAGTCTTTTATAGGTAAACTGAAGCATCAATCCTGTAACTGTGTATACAAAGCCTACTGTGCGTACTGTATTCATACTGGATGGTGATTGAAGGCAAAATCAAAATTTGGGCTGTGGCGAGATCCCAATCAGCGACCCCCTCGCTATGATACCGATTCGGTAACCCGGAGGTCACTGGTTTAAATCTCAGTGCGGCCCAGGCTTTCATTACACTTTCAATCATCAATAAGTATCAATACAAGTCTGCTGAAACCCGCTTATCATCTCAGATAGTCAAACTGATATTTTATATGTTGCAAAAGAGGAATATTAAAAGTTTAGAAGATGACACTTCGCTACTTAAACTGTAGAGTATCATGATGTAGCGAGATGCCCTTTCGTGATCAAGAAATCGCAACGGTTAACAAGTCAGCAAGTTGATAACAACAGAATATATACCTTCCAATTTTTGCTTTTTTGATCATCATGAAATGACTATTTTTAAAGATCGTGAGGTAAATTATTTGGGTAATGAGTTCTAAAAACTTAAACATTTAAGTATCCTGGATTTAAAGCATAAAAATGATAAGATTGGTTTACAAATAAAAGATATTTTTAACATATTTAAGAGTTTTATTCACGACTTGCTCTCATTAGGTTAAATAGCTACTTCGACTAAGAAAATGACCATTTTGGGGTTTGCAGAGATTTATTGATTTCAAGTTGTTATTTATCATGGACTTATGTCAGCTGGGGGAACACTGGAAGCCTGGGAGCACTGAATAGCTGTTTCGTCCTGGCATGAGACTCCTAGGCAGCGCGTACCCATGACCCTGCTAGGGATCAAACCCAGGGTCTACAGGTTCTGCGGTCAGCACGTTACCACTAACCCACTGGATCGGAATCCATGATCCCGACCACCACCCATAGTCATTGTTGAGTATCTGTCCTCACGTCCACTAGGTTTGCCCCAACAGTCACGGCTTCTGGTTGGAACTTCAGGAATTACCTCCCGAAGCTAGCCACCAATGAGGTGCTGGGTTTGATCTCCGGTGGGGTCATGGATGCGCACTGTTGAGGAGTCCCATACTGGGATGAGACGGCTGTCCGGTGCTCCCAGGTTTCCATTGCTCTTCCAAATGATGCCAATCAATGAAGAATAGCAACTCAAAAAGGACTCGTCATATAGTCTTAGTGATGGTCTCACACAAAACTACTGTAATTATGACCTAATTTATGATGGTAAATATTTCGTAGGTTGAACTAGTTCGACAAATAAGGTAATTTATTTCCAAGAATATTTTTTTATACTTTCAATAGCTGTGTGCTGAAATTTCTGCAGTGATCACGTACACATGTATAAAAATAAACGGACAGAAAGTGCATCAAGTCAAAAGCTATTTTGAGCTGATGTTGATGTTATTGATTGTAATTTCCTGTCACTGGTTGAACAGAATCTACCAGTCACAATTGGCCTATAGGATCCCGCGTGGAAGTCTCGATATTGCCATTTATTAAAGTTTATCAGTAAGGATGGATAGTGCTCACGGGAGGGGGGATTCTGGACACTTATTTATTCCTGCTTTGAACTCGTCAGCTGGATGTACCTGCACGCCAGTCAGTGATGTTGCTCTCACTGAGAGTAGAACTCAGCACCTACTATTTTAAATCTCAGAGCGTTATCCACTGGGCCACCGATGGATGATAGCTAGAACTATATCCATCGTGCAAGAAAAGGCTTTTGTGACTCAGTAACCGAAGGGATAACTCTATAGTGTATTCTTGGGATGGAGTCTCAGAGGGAACACCATCACTTACTCGGAAGTAGGTGGATCCAACTGAAGAGTCCTAAATAGGACAAAATACGTATCCTGGATTCCGCTGCTGGATACCATTCATCATTCCTGGATTAATCTTATCCACTTAGTTACCATTGTACTTGTTACTGAGTTACAAAAGTTAACTTTATTGGACCTGTAATACTCTGTAGTTAGAGGATTATTAAAATATCAACTATTGTCCTTTATTTCGATGAACTCATAAGGTGTAGATTAATGGAATTTAGGGTAAGCCTGGCACAAAATGAGGTAAATTTCACGTGTGTACAATAACTCAGGTAACGTATAACTCTTAAGATGCTAAGTTTTAAGATGACCCAGAACGTACTATATCACGTGCATATAATGAAATAAAAATATATGTAAATATCATTTGTAAAGCTTGCATGGATTTAAAAACATACTGTCATAACATACAAAGTTCAGGTTGATTTTAGGCGTACGATTAAAATGAAGGCATATATTCATTTTTCAGCATCAATCAGTGTATCATTTTTCCAACTAATAAATTGATAAAAACATTTTATTATCACAAAACCGATAGATGTTTACCAATGTAACGAAGGTTTCAAAACAATAACTTTTGGTATTGCGTAGTTGTAAGCTAAAAGGTCGTGAGATATCAGACCTAAATGATTTCATTTCATTATGATTATTATTCATATTACAAGTCAGATATGTTTCAAAACGGGTAATCTGATAACACACAACTCGACTGCTTAAATATATGTATGTATGTTGAATAATAGGACTTCCCGAGTTGATGTGTCCTCTTCAATGTTACGTAAAAGCAGGTTACTCATTATTTCCTCCCCTAACAAGTGAGAAAAATTCCCACAGTCCACCCTATTTTAGTGTCAGACGTTAAAAGCCAACCTTCAATAAGGCCTGCTTGTTAGCATTCAATAACTACAATTAAGAGGAAGCCGTTATTCCCTCGGTGATACAAACCTGCATCACAAATCGCTAACATAAGAGGGTTTAGAAATAAGCTATCCAGACCATGACTGCCTCTCTATAGGAGTGCATATGCATATAAATCAATCACCACTGGGTAACCTATGTAGCTATTTAGACCATAGTGATTGGCGTAAATAGAAGTCATAAATCTGATAGTCAATCATGATAGTGTATTCATTGTAATTCTTGTTCAAGCTGTTGTTGTGGATGGTATCGAGAAATAAGAGATAACAGCTATTACACGCTGCTTCGTTTACAATAATACTCACAATTATATTCACTACTAATTAAAACATAAGTAAACTATCAGAAGAAGCTGTCAGACGGAGAAGTCTTAGCATTTACTGTCCAGCATCATATCATATGATAGGTCTAAAACCAATTAAAAATGCCCCATTTTGTTTTATTATGTAAAGCTGAAGAATGTATGGAAGCCATATTTTGTGGTGTAAGATTTTAGATTCTGAACAAAAACGCGATGTTTACAAACAACACAATATGGAGGTCTCCATAAATTAACTGTTTTAGAGAGAGCTGTTTCATGCTTGTTCATGACGTCCATAAACTGCATACCTATAAAAGGATGCATGAATTATACGCCCAAGAGCATCTGTTGAGCAGTCAGATATGAATTCTCTAAATATCATTTTTGTTATCTTATTTGATTTGTAATATAAAAGAACTACACTTCAAGATCATAAATGAGTATAGTTGACTTAGTGGTGGCTAGCAGCAGAATCCGGAAGGCACGCTTCGTTCTAATTAGGAATTGTTAGATAGATGTATCTGCACCCTAGTAAGTGATGGCGTTCCCCACCGACGAGTTCCAAATGAGAAGAAACGCGCATCCTGTATCAAGCTGTCAACCAGTTATAACAACAAATATTCAGGTAATATCGAGGCATCCACACACTAGCCAATATGTTAACATATGTCGACAAATTCGATGCAGTGTAACAACGGGGAGTTATAAATATCAGGAAATAAGTGAGTATTCTTTATAATCACTACATTAACTAACGCTTCAGGTAACCATTTGCGATGGGATTTCCTGAAAATCCATTTCTCTCTAATGAGTCACTAAAAAACGTAGACTAGTACTCAGCAGTCAGGTGGGCGTTTATAAGGAATACCTTTCCTAAAGATAAGCTTATCAGAGAAATTCTTTTCAAAGAACTACTAAGAGTCGGCAAACTTTGGTCAGATGTTTCTAGTTCCTTTTTGGCTAGCATTAGTCAGACAGAGGTACGTTCTGACCAAAGGGGCTCCGGTTTACTTAAGGCCTTACAGCATGAAAAATGTTGTTTCTGGTACTCTTTGTATCTAAGTACAACTTTCATAAACGTTTTCACAATCTGTTGGCTATTTTGCAGTGAAATATGAATCCTCCTGGTAGTTGGTCATTAAGCTCAAAAGGATGGCAAATTAGTCATACTTAATAACTGTGACTTCAGTCAGTTCATTAGGCTGGCTGAAATTCAGTGGTATAAATATGGGGATCATAGTACAGTTTAGACTATCTATTTTATAAAAAGATCTAAACCTATTAAACTCAAAAATATTTTTTACTTTATACAAAATGCGAAGTACCTTAGAGAATAAAGTGAGCGTGTATTTTATTCATCAGAACCTGGCCTAAATAACTTATTGGTAGTCTCTGACTTCAATACTGAATGATGCTTGTTCTAGTTACCAAGAGGACACCAGCTTCTATGTCGTCGCTGAAACGCCCTGTTGATGTGTGTCTACGAGCACGAAACCCAGATTGACCAGATCTTCCTGCTGATTGACTTCCAAAATCCAACATAAAAGTACAGTGAACCATAATGTCACATCACAGTCTAGTGGACACATTGCTAACTCGATCGATTTCCGTTAGTGCTGAGCACAAGGAAACAGAGAGTTTCATCGGTTACCCGCTGACGACCGATTCGTGTAATGAAGAATCTAAATTATCAGGTTCACTGCTTTCTGTTTAAACCTTTATGAATAGATATTCTGTAAAACAAACTATTAACTCATTTATGCTCTTCGTTTGAATATTCATCTTTTTGTATTCTCTAGAAGTGGATAAAAAGTCAGATTGTTTTGAAATAGTGGAGGATAATTTGTAGCTCAGGTAAATGGTCTTGGTTGCATTGTGTATTCTGAGCTGGGTTGTTTAGTCGACTAAACGACCAGGAGTCAGTCAGCAAGAAGAAGGATGTTTATATGCGACCTTGAAAAGGTGGTGTTTTGTCGGAGGTTTCGACGTCTGTCATTCGTTGGTATCAAAACCATTACGACTTTACTTGCCGACTGAAAGGCGTACGCCTTACCTTCACATGAATAAATCGTCTACTCCTGGTAATGCTAACAAAATTGTTATAATAAAGGAAATATTATGAAATGTAAGTTATGTTTTGCATAGTCAGGTTTACTGTAACTACTTGTTTTATATCACTGTGAATTGTCACAAAATAATAATCTGGCGTTATTGATGAAATAGGATATTTCTAAACTACTTAAACGATTTTCTTTGCCACAGTTGTTACTCCACATGTAGATAAAGTGCACAAGTATTCAAGTCTGAGAAAATTAACTCTCATTTATATGAATCTTTCCGGCTTATCTCTATAAAAATCTTCTGTTTATGAATTCATTTTATACCTCTGTTGAACCAACTAACGGTAACTTTATTTTTTTAGATGTTTTCATATACCTGGTAAAATCTAGAAATTACTTGATGAAAGCTTGTTCATGACAAAACATAAACCTTTTAGGAAAGGACAGGCGGGTTTTGAGATGATGGAAATGATTTGTAGCTGTGGATGAGGATGATGGTGGCTTAGTGTTCTCTGTGCTTTTGTTATGGATGTTTGATCATAAGGCTTGTTGACATCCTCAACACTAACTACATAAAGAAGTGAAGCATATTCTTCGGTGCTGATGATATCACCAAACCTGGTGATGAGACGTACATGACAAAATATCAAACGTCAGAGAACACTAAACCACAAACAACTTCGAGGTTTATAAATAACATTTTATACCTTCAGCGCTTTCTACTCGTATGAATATGAAGAGTAAAACTGAGACAAATTCCAAACCGCTATCAAATTTAAACTAGTAACAGCAGAAATTTTAATCGGTCGGAATGAGGATAGGATCCGATAACATGTTATATCTCACAGTTTATCGAATGATCACAGATCTCAAAATAGAACACACTAATTGTTAACCCTAAAAAGTTAAATCCATTAAAAAACAAAAATAAAACCGGTTAAATTGAAAATGTTGGTGCATAACAATTTGACAACAATAAAAATAATTCTTATCAATAGACAACATTTTACACACTGCCATGTTAACTGCTTCTTTGTCCATTTCATTTTCTCATCACCAATTAAATAACGTTTCTTTCGATTTAATAATCTGCCATGTTCAATATTCATTTGTAAATTAGCATTCTGTAGAATTATGGAATGATTATTAATTAAATGGAATGTACTGTCAACTGTCCGCTTTGATGATGACGAATATGACAAAGATGATGGAGATACTGATGATGCATGCTTTGAATTCGTTTCTTTCGAGTTAGTTTGTCTATCTGGATTACCACAACGTGGCGCAATTAACAATTCCTTTGTAGCTTTATCTAATTTTTTTGTAATCGGTAGATTAAATTGCCTTTGAAATTTTTCAATAGCACTTATAAATTCTTTTGGAGGATTTGTCAATGATATTTTGTCTGGATAGGTAAAAGATTCATAAGGATTGTTTTCTGCTGCTATGGGATTGTCATTGTGAGACAGCTCATTCACGTAACCATACTGATAAAGTAAACGCTATTGACAGAAAATTAAAACAAAAGAGAAGGGGATAATTGAAAGTAGCTAAAGAATATTGAATTATTGCGAGTTTTGAATATGTAATTCATAAAATGAAGGAGTTTTCGACTATAAGTAGATATTTGTCAAACAATAATTCAATACGGAAGCATAGACGACTGAACTCGGGCATCAACCCCATCTACGGCTACACAAACCTTCCAAACAGTGTCTGTTATTCCAATACTTACACTAATGAGGCGGAATAAATTGGTTTCTGGTATCATATTGGTTGCTATCACTGAGACAGGTGATATTTTTTGTCTTGGATCTTCGCACAGCTATCTTCGAGCTGGTTGTTAAGGATAGTCTGACAGTGGTAATAAACAAATTGGTCATCAGTTTATACCCCGTGTGGCTAGCCAGTCACAAGTACTCAGCTCTGACCAAAACCTGTCGATCCACTTGAGAGGTAATTACATGACACTGAGGTGCACAGAGTTTTGCAGCTACGTGTTGGTAACCAAAAGTCATGAAATCTAGATTTCGACGGTACTGGCCCTCATCAGTACAGTTCATCTATAACGATGAAGAAGCTGATGTTCCATCGGTGATTCCAACCTGCATCAAATTCAACACCGAAAACTACATTCAGTTTTACCGAATAAGTATCATAAATTATTACTGTAAGGAGTTATAATGCATACTATTGAAAAGCTGCACAATAGAAAGGAACTGTCATCTATCTTTCACTAGTATGAAACAATCATTTTTAACAACAGCTTGCAATGAAACTTTCACTATTACAGTTATCTCATTTGGTGGAAAAATTAAACAGATCTTGAGAAATTTGTTTGAGAACATATTGTAAAAGCCAGTAGGTATCATTCAGTAGGCTATTAGAAAGTGAGAATCATTGAATAGTTGTATCTTCATAGCTAATATTTACTCATTTCTATAGACAGTTTAAAAAACTCTGGGGGTTGACTTCAAGGTGTTCATTGTTTACAGTGATCAATTCGTAATGTAACTAGAATGTTCGGAGTGAATAATACTTTCTTTTCTATCAATTCACTAACTTTCAATCTGGAGGTTTTTAGGGATTTATTTATTAATTTCTGGTTGGTATTCATTACGGACTGACAACTGCTGGAGAACCACTGAAAACCTAGGAGCATTGGACAGCTGTTTGGCTGTAACACAAAACTCCTCAGCGGTGTGCACCCATGGGGCCACCCCGCCATCGGTCCAACCCAAGACCTTCAGGTTCCGCGACCGACAAGTTACCATTGAGCTAGTGAATCAGAACCATATAGTCCACATTTCCTGCTTCTGTCAGTTCGCGACGTTGCATGATCTTGCAATCTTTATTACAGCAAGTACTTGTCTTTGGGAGTTCTAAACGTGATTTCAATGACCAATCCAGCATTGCTAAACAGCATTACTACGAGTAATTTAATTGCAACGAAATTTTTTTATTGATTCAATAACATGCTATTTGTTTCCTCAGAATAGCATGAAATAACAACAGTACTGCAAGACTGAACTGTATGTTCACTGGACCATTACCAATTTTATGTTATCTGGTTCTCAGTGCTGACCAGATTCTGTCAATCATTTAGCAGTTTTGTTAGTAAACTAGGAGAATCACCATTACGGTACACTTTTCTATGATGTTTGAGGCTAGTGGAAGGAAGTCCTACTTGACCACGGCTTTGTTTTAAATGACAGCCGTCAAGAAGGCATATTTGAAACCTCGTGGAGACTGTTGTCGAGTCTTGGGTTTGAACCAGCTTCGTCCATTTCTGCAGTCAGAGACTTTATCACTGTGATATTTGAACTGCGACTGACCCTTTGAATGACTGAACTAAATAGACTGACTGGTCATTGGAGAATAACCGATTCTATGTTGTATAGTCTTGAGTGCTGACCAGATTCTATCGACCATTCGGCAATGTGGTTATCAAGGGAAGAGACTCACTATCACGGTGAAATTTCGCTTGCTGTTAAGTGATTTGACGTAATCGGTCTGAAAGGCTCATTCATGACATCTCTGAATGTAGCACTGTATGATGTGATTTCTGACCTTTGAGGAGAAATCAGTACCCTGGTAGCTACAGATACGCCTTATTTACAAGTTCTATGAAGCAATGGATACCTTCAACCACTTGACAATGTTTTAGGTCTTTGGATTTTGCACTACCCTCAGGAATTGTGATAAGTATGCTGTCTTCAGGAAAATGTAGTAAGATATGAAAAGCTCACACTTTGAAACCCGAATAGTTTGTGTATCAATACTTACGAGTGGATATTTTGCTCATTATCGTCATAACACATTACTTGATTCATACAAGAAGCCATACGTCTTCGCTTTCAGAAGACTTAAGTCAAACGGACTATCAGTCAATCGAAAAAATAATTTCATGTGATTTCAACTAACTTGATGTTGATAATGCTATCGTGTTTCTATCGAAACGATCTACATATCTATTTTGAATCCTCAGCATGCTGATTTAAAATCCGTTTGCTTAAATATGTTACTACTATGTGGTTTTGAGGAATGAGTAACTTTAACCGTACTCTCTTTCACCAGTTTTCAACAACAAAACAAGCTTGGCAAACCAAAGTGTTAAACAGATACCTCACAGTTTACTTAGTGGTCAGCAATGGAAACTAGGAAGTGTGTTTTATCCCACTAAGGATTCTTCAGCTGGATGTACCTGTACCTCTGGATTCCACTGCCGACTACTAACTAAATTATAACATAATGAATATCCAAGCAATATTGAGACATCCACATAGAAGCATATCTGCCAATAGATGTCGGGCACTTCTACCCAGCATAACAGCGGTAAATAACAAGTATCAATAAGTAATAGCAAACAGATATTTCACTACGGAGAAGAAACACTCTGACTTAATTTAGGAGTGACAATGGCTGTCATAGAAAGTAATGACTGGCATTCATTTGAATCTCAATTAACCGATTCATAATGTGTATGATAAGCATGAAAGCCAAAAGTATTTTGTTAGGCTTTGTTGCCAATCCTGGTGATGAAACGTCCACATCAAAATACCAAAACTTAAAGAATGCCGAACCACCATCACACATAATCACTGTTTTCATATTCTCAGGTTGTAACAAAATAGATGTTTACAAAGAAACATTTCAGGTTGCTAGAAATGTAGAAGACAAAGTACCCAACTAAATTTGCGGTTAATGATGATTGATTGGTTTGGCGATAATTTTCATCGTGAACCAACATCAGTTAGACGGATGATAAGAGTCGGAAAGTGTGTATCATTGGACTCTGACCAGATGTCTGAAAAGTAACTTGCTTGTCATAAAACCTGGTGTCCTGGGTTCGACTCCGCTTTGTATCGTCACTGCGCATGTCTGAGGAGTCCCGAACATGAACATAATGGCTGTCCTATGTTCCTAGCTTTCCAATTCTCTAAGTGATGTCTGTCTTGAAAGTAACCATTTATTTTCGGGATCAAATAATGGTTATTTTTTAGGTTCATTAATTATCAGTGAAATATGACAGTATAGATGTTCACTTTAGTAGTACGTTGACTACTAGCAGTGCTCGGTTGGTAGGGCGCTGGGCCGGTGACTCAGAAGCCGCTGGTGCGTATTATGCTGTGACTCAGATTTTCACTTGACCTTCAATCACCACCTAGTATCGATAATCCAAGTCTATCAAACCACTGCTATTTCAGATAGTCCAATTGATAAATGACAATCATTAACAAATTTCTCAATCTAATTTAGTGGTTTTTTAAGACTTAATAAGGATCGTGGATTTATTTATTGATTTAGGCAGTTTGTAGGGTCAAAGGCTCAAACCGCTAAGGAGTTCAAAATTGTGATAAAAAAAAGTTATGCATCAGCCCCTGATATATTCAAGTTTGACCACCAATGGCATTTGAAGATAATTTGTGGGGTTAAAGTTCTTAAATGTATGTTATTTAAAATTTTATCAGAATATGAGAACTGATTCAAGGTAACTTTTATAAGAAAGTAATTCATATATTGACTTTCGCCTGTTCAATGCCTAAAGGTTGTGTTTCTTGTGGGACTAGGCATACCTTGGTTCTTAGTCGATAGACATGACTGGTGTGAAGTAACGGATGGTTACAAAACTATTGGGTGATCCGTAATTTTCACTATTTTTTCAACCTGTAGGACAAGCTAACCTCAAGCTTCTACTATATGGTTTTGCTGATATCATTAATATTTTTAAAATCCTTCTACCTGTCAGAAACTGAACTTTTATTAATAATGATTCATATTTCAATTTGATAATGAAAATAATTCAGTTAACAAGTTCTTGGCATTTGTTATTCACAACTGGGGTCATTCAACATCTCCAGAAATTGTCTATTTATTTTTCTACTACACATGAGAGCTTAATCGAAAGAAAGCATGGTGTGCAATAGGGTTTCTACTTCTAGGAACTGATTGTCAGGGAGATAGACAGAAAGAATCAACGTATATCTCCTACACAAGTGCATTGGTTCAAGTTGCCACACTTCACAGAAGTATACAAAGAACTGGTGAATACAGCAAGAGTTACATCAAAGAGATAAAGTTGGGTGTGAGAATAAACGATCTGAAGATAAAGGTTAGTGCAAATATTCAAACTTTAGAAGACGTCAAAGAGTGAATACATCTGCGCCACTGTGACTGAATTTTAGCAATGTCGCCAAGAGTTCTCAATCACTGATTTCGATCGTCTCGGGGACCGCAACCAAGCAGTCTACAACTCCTCCCAAACCAACAGTCAGGGACTTCACCAACTGATGTCGTATCTCGGTCTGGCCACCCATAACCCTCTTCCAACTTCAAGTTAGGCAGTAGTTGGGTATGCGCAGTACACGTCTAAACTATCTCAGTCAATGAAGGTTCATAACTTCATCAATCAACTAGGTCGTCTCGCCTAGTACCATTAGTCTAACTTCAATATTGCTCACACAATGATGTAGCTAAATGTGAGCAGGAACTGATCGTAAAA